GTACTCGTTGCTGTTGTTGTTTTCGTTGTCGACGGCTCAGTGGTAGTTTTAGTTGTCAGTGTCGTGGACCCGGTGGTACTCGTTGCCGTTGTTGTTTTCGTTGTCGACGGCTCGGTGGTAGTTTTAGTTGTCTGAGTCGTGGACCCGGTGGTACTCGTTGGCGTTGTTGTCGGCTCTGTGGTAGTTTTAGTTGTCTGAGTCGTGGACCCGGTGGTACTCGTTGGCGTTGTTGTCGGCTCAGTGGTAGTTTTAGTTGTCTGAGTCGTGGACCCGGTGGTACTCGTCGCCGTTGTTGTCGGCTCTGTGGTAGTTTTAGTTGTCTGAGTCGTGGACCCGGTGGTACTCGTTGCCGTTGTTGTCGGCTCTGTGGTAGTTTTAGTTGTCTGAGTCGTGGACCCGGTGGTACTCGTTGCCGTTGTTGACGGCTCTGTGGTAGTTTTAGTTGTCTGAGTCGTGGACCCGGTGGTACTCGTTGCCGTTGTTGTTTTCGTTGTCGACGACTCAGTCGTAGTTTTAGCTGTCTGAGTCGTGGACCCGGTGGTACTCGTCGCCGTTGTTGTCGGCTCTGTGGTAGTTTTAGTTGTCTGAGTCGTGGACCCGGTGGTACTCGTTGTCGATGGCTCAGTGGTAGTTTTAGTTGTCTGAGTCGTGGACCCGGTGGTACTTGTTGCCGTTGTTGTCGGCTCAGTGGTAGTTTTAGTTGTCTGAGTCGTGGACCCGGTGGTACTGGCGTTGTGGCTCAGTGGTAGTTTTAGTTGTCTGAGTCGTGGACCCGGTGGTACTCGTTGCCGTTGTTGTTTTCGTTGTCGACGGCTCAGTGGTAGTTTTAGTTATCTGAGTCGTGGACCCGGTGGTACTCGTTGCCGTTGTTGTTTTCGTTGTCGACGGCTCAGTGGTAGTTTTAGTTATCTGAGTCGTGGACCCGGTGGTACTCGTTGCCTTTGTTGTCGGCTCTATGGTAGTTTTAGTTGTCTGAGTCGTGGACCCGGTGGTACTTGTTGCCGTTGTTGTCGGCTCAGTGGTAGTTTTAGTTGTCTGAGTCGTGGACCCGGTGGTACTCGTTGCCGTTGCTGTCGGCTCAGTGGTAGTTTTAGTTGTCTGAGTCGTGGACCCGGTGGTACTCGTTGCCGTTGCTGTCGGCTCAGTGGTAGTTTTAGTTATCTGAGTCGTGGACCCGGTGGTACTCGTTGCCTTTGTTGTCGGCTCAGTGGTAGTTTTAGTTATCTGAGTCGTGGACCCGGTGGTACTTGTTGCCGTTGTTGTCGGCTCTGTGGTAGTTTTAGTTGTCTGAGTCGTGGACCCGGTGGTACTCGTTGCCGTTGCTGTCGGCTCTGTGGTAGTTTTAGTTGTCTGAGTCGTGGACCCGGTGGTACTCGTTGCCGTTGTTGGTTTCGTTGTCGACGGCTCAGTCGTAGTTTTAGTTGTCTGAGTCGTGGACCCGGTGGTACTCGTTGCCGTTGTTGTCGGCTCTGTGGTAGTTTTAGTTGTTTGAGTCGTGGACCCGGTGGTACTTTTTGCCGTTGTTGTCGGCTCAGTGGTAGTTTTAGTTGTCTGAGTCGTGGACCCGGTGGTACTTGTTGCCGTTGTTGTCGGCTCAGTGGTAGTTTTAGTTGTCTGAGTCGTGGACCCGGTGGTACTCGTTGCCGTTGCTGTCGGCTCTGTGGTAGTTTTAGTTGTCTGAGTCGTGGACCCGGTGGTACTCGTTGCCGTTGTTGGTTTCGTTGTCGACGGCTCAGTCGTAGTTTTAGTTGTCTGAGTCGTGGACCCGGTGGTACTCGTTGCCTTTGTTGTCGGCTCTGTGGTAGTTTTAGTTGTCTGAGTCGTGGACCCGGTGGTACTTGTTGCCGTTGTTGTTGGCTCTGTGGTAGTTTTAGTTGTCTGAGTCGTGGACCCGGTGGTACTCGTTGCCGTTGTTGTCGGCTCTGTGGTAGTTTTAGTTGTCTGAGTCGTGGACCCGGTGGTACTCGTTGCCGTTGTTGTCGGCTCTGTGGTAGTTTTAGTTGTCTGAGTCGTGGACCCGGTGGTACTCGTCGCCGTTGTTGTCGGCTCTGTGGTAGTTTTAGTTGTCTGAGTCGTGGACGCGGTGGTACTCGTTGCCGTTGTTGTCGGCTCAGTGGTAGTTTTAGTTGTCTGAGTCGTGGACCCGGTGGTACTCGTTGCCGTTGTTGTCGGCTCTGTGGTAGTTTTAGTTGTCTGAGTCGTGGACCCGGTGGTACTCGTCGCCGTTGTTGTCGGCTCTGTGGTAGTTTTAGTTGTCTGAGTCGTGGACGCGGTGGTACTCGTTGCCGTTGTTTTCGGCTCTGTGGTAGTTTTAGTTGTCTGAGTCGTGGACCCGGTGGTAATCGTTGCCGTTGTTGACGGCTCTGTGGTAGTTTTAGTTGTCTGAGTCGTGGACCCGGTGGTACTCGTTGCCGTTGTTGTTTTCGTTGTCGACGGCTCGGTGGTAATTTTAGTTATCTGAGTCGTGGACCCGGTGGTACTCGTTGCTGTTGTTGTTTTCGTTGTCGACGGGTCAGTGGTAGTTTTAGTTGTCTGAGTCGTGGACCCGGTGGTACTCGTTGCCGTTGTTTTCGGCTCAGTGGTAGTTTTAGTTGTCTGAATCGTGGACCCGGTGGTACTCGTTGCCGTTGTTGTTTTCGTTGTCGACGGCTCGGTGGTAATTTTAGTTATCTGAGTCGTGGACCCGGTGGTACTCGTTGCCGTTGTTGTTTTCGTTGTCGACGGGTCAGTGGTAGTTTTAGTTGTCTGAGTCGTGGACCCGGTGGTACTCGTTGCCGTTGTTTTCGGCTCAGTGGTAGTTTTAGTTGTCTGAATCGTGGACCCGGTTGTACTCGTTGCCGTTGTTGTCGGCTCAGTGGTAGTTTTAGTTGTCTGAGTCGTGGACCCGGTGGTACTCGTTTCCGTTGTTGTTTTCGTTGTCGACGGCTCAGTGGTAGTTTTTGTTGTCTGAGTCGTGGACCCGGTGGTACTCGTTGTCGACGGCTCAGTGGTAGTGTTAGTTGTCTGAGTCGTGGACCCGGTGGTACTCTTCGCCATTGTTGTCGGCTCTGTGGTAGTTTTAGTTGTCTGAGTCGTGGACCCGGTGGTACTCGTTGCCGTTGTTGTTTTCGTTGTCGACGGCTTGGTGGTAGTTTTAGTTGTCTGAGTCGTGGACCCGGTGGTACTCGTTGCCGTTGTTGTCGGCTCTGTGGTAGTTTTAGTTGTCTGAGTCGTGGACCCGGTGGTACTCGTCGCCGTTGTTGTCGGCTCTGTGGTAGTTTTAGTTGTCTGAGTCGTGGACCCGGTGGTACTCGTTGCCGTTGTTTTCGGCTCTGTGGTAGTTTTAGTTGTCTGAGTCGTGGACCCGGTAGTACTCGATGCCGTTGTTGTCGGCTCTGTGGTAGTTTTAGTTGTCTGAGTCGTGGACCCGGTGGTACTCGTTGCCGTTGTTGTTTTCGTTGTCGACGGCTCGGTGGTAGTTTTAGTTGTCTGAGTCGTGGACCCGGTGGTACTCGTTGCCGTTGTTGTCGGCTCTGTGGTAGTTTTAGTTGTCTGAGTCGTGGACCCGGTGGTACTCGTTGCCGTTGTTGTCGGCTCTGTGGTAGTTTTAGTTGTCTGAGTCGTGGACCCGGTGGTACTCGTTGCCGTTGTTGTTTTCGTTGTCGACGGCTCGGTGGCAATTTTAGTTGTCTGAGTCGTGGACCCGGTGGTACTCGTTGCCGTTGTTTTCGGCTCAGTGGTAGTTTTAGTTGTCTGAATCGTGGACCCGGTGGTACTCGTTGCCGTTGTTGTCGGCTCAGTGGTAGTTTTAGTTGTCTGAGTCGTGGACCCGGTGGTACTCGTTGCCGTTGTTGTCGGCTCTGTGGTAGTTTTAGTTGTCTGAGTCGTGGACCCGGTGGTACTCGTTGCCGTTGTTGTCGGCTCTGTGGTAGTTTTAGTTGTCTGAGTCGTGGACCGGGTGGTACTCGTAGCCGTTGTTGTTTTCGTTGTCGACGGCTCAGTCGTAGTTTTAGTTGTCTGAGTCGTGGACCCGGTGGTACTCGATGCCGTTGTTGTCGGCTCAGTGGTAGTTTTAGTTGTCTGAGTCGTGGACCCGGTGGTACTCGTTGCCGTTGTTGTTTTCGTTGTCGACGGCTCAGTGGTAGTTTTAGTTGTCTGAGTCGAGGACCCGGTGGCACTCGTTGCCGTTGTTGTTTTCCTTGTTGACGGCTCAGTCGTAGTTTTAGTTGTCTGAGTCGTGGACCCGGTGGTACTCGTTGCCGTTGTTGTTTTCGTTGTCGACGGCTCAGTGGTAGTTTTAGTTGTCTGAGTTGTGGACCCGGTGGTACTCGTTGCCGTTGTTGTTTTCGTTGTCGACGGCTCAGTGGTAGTTTTAGTTGTCTGAGTCGTGGACCCGGTGGTACTCGTTGGTGTTGTTGTTTTCTCGGTCGTCGGCCCTGTGGTGATTTTTGTGGTAGATATTTGAGTCGTCAAAGTTGTTTGCTCGGAGGAAGACTTCGTTTCTCCAGTGCCGGTTGTTGTTGTCGTTGCAACCGGTGCTGCATAAGCAGGTTGGTGGATTGCAAGCAAAACTAAACTCATAATAATGATCTGCAACAGAAAATCATTCCATGTATTGCGGAGAGGTGAAGTATTTTCGACTTACCATGGCAAGGTTTCGAGCAGGACTCTGCTTGTGTCGAGTCTCATCTAGCGTTTAAATAGAAAAGAAAATCCAATACAATACATTGCAGCGGCCTGATAAGCTTTGCAGGGTCGAAGTTCAGTCCAGGTCAGCAGGTAGGCGTTGTGCACTTAGTAAACCATTAAGATAAGCTTCGATTTCTTTACATTAGTTTGTTCATTATTGGAAGGCATTTTTGCTTAAAGAACGAATCTTGTAATAGTGTTCTTATCTTATGCATAATACTAATTTAAAGAAATTCTGAAAACCCTATATTGTAATGCAGGTCTGATAATAGCAGTTGCTTAATAGTTTTCCCCAAAACTAGCATTTAATCTGCAGCATTAAAAAGCGTTTGTCCATTTTTTGACTAGCTGTGATTTATTACACATAAATATATGGGTTCACATAAAAGTTGAGCCTTAGACTATAGCAGAGTCCGAAGATACCGAATCCAATCGGTCGATCTCATTTGGTACTGGGCTTGGTGTGTGGTGTGCAAGTCTCGGGTTAGTTTCTCTCTATTGCTGGTGCCGAAATAAATATTGCTTATGCCTAGGTAAGAGTACAATAAGATAAATAGAACAGAAGTTTTCCAGGCCCTAAATGCAATGTGACAACAGAATCTATAGCTGATGATTGCACAGTGCCCGAGTCCTCGCCTTGGTTCCAGGTTTAGATCTAGTTTAGGTTATCATATTTCCCCAGTTCGAAGACCTAATTGTTAGTGTGGGTGTAGTAGAGAACCGTGTTGCCGGGCAGCTGCCAGTGGGAGGCCTTCAGTTCGATTAGCTGAAGCAGTGTGCGTCGGATGGAAGCAGCTGATTCTCCGGCATTCAAAAAGGCATCCCGAACGAGACCCATGAGTAGCTCCAGTTGTTGTGGCAGCTGCTGCTCCATATCCTGACCAATGCAGGTGAGCACATAGAACAGGCACTCAATCTGGGAGATAAGAAGCAACATGTTAATAGTTTTAAATTTGGATAAAGGGAATTTCTTTTAAACTCACCTCCGAGAGAGATCTTATGGGTGGACGCACACAATCCTCACAACACTTTGACAGCAAGCTGAGCAAAACCAAGGGTGGAGGAGTGCCCTCGTGGTGGGTGCGCAATTGGAGTTGCCGGCGCTTCAGCTGACAAAACATCTCGGTGAGGAAGGCCATAAAGGCGGTGAAACGAACACGTGAAGGCGACTTCATGCCCTGGATGGCAAATAACAACTGCAAAAGTAAAATAAAATAAAATTATTAAATAAAGTATGCAAGTTCTTAATAAGTTTTATAAAATTGAAAAGAACAGGAGTATTTAAGAACCTAATTCTAATATAAAATTGATTTTTAAAGTGTATCTTACCTTTTCACGCTCCTGATACCACTGACGGCATGTATTGAGAAGAGCTTCCAAGAAAGTCTCCTTCTGTTCCCGGGCGATGATGTTCAGACACAGCCGCGAAATTGGCAGTGCAAATCGACGACTCTCCACCGCTCGCTTAATAAACTGCGATGTCAGTTCCATGAGGCAACGCGAGTTCAGTTTGTTCGGATCCTCCAGAGCCGTGTCAATCAGCACCTGAATCTCCGCGGTAAATTGACCAATGTCGGCCACCTCGTTACCCAAACCCAATCCCAATCCAGCCATTCCCCTTGTTAAGGCATCCGCCGACGACAAAGATTTGGAGCGTTGCAGCGAATTCCCATTCATGTATGGATCGATTCCATTAAGATTTGCCTGGTAGGGCTGTCCATAGTTATTGTTGAGCTGACCAAACTGATTGTGGGTGGGTACCTTGTGACCTCTGGGCTCGGGGGCAAACTTGACACGGTTCGTTGTCTGGAAATAGAGTAGGGTACAGATTAGAAAGGTAGGTTTTATAGCCAAAAAAATGTATTTTGAAATGTATAACTTAATTTAAATCATTTTTTCCTCATATTGAATTTTAAATTGGAATGCAAATTTAATTTTAGTGGAGCTTACATGCAGTATGTTGCCACTGGAAGGCGAGTTCATGAGCGGCAGCTGACCGCCGAGGGGACTGCCACCGATGGGATGGGTTACCAGGATGGAGCGATGGTGGTTGGCCTTCATTCCGGGCATACTGCCCAGCGAGAGACCCGCCTGGCGGCGATTAACGTTCCCGTACTGACCCAAAACCGGAGCGATACCACCGGGTCCATTGGTCGGCGGGAAGATCAGCGATGAACTGGAAGAATGTTGTAGATTGTAGTTTAGCTCTGCAAGGAGACGGGAAGAGGGGTAAACGATGGCATTAAAAGGCTTTGCTTTACCGATTGCTGAGTGCCTCGGCCGGTGCCCCGGAGCTGCTTGTCATTGTAAACTCCTGGGCATTGACGTTCAGCTTGTTGGCGACACCACCGTTTGCACCATTTGCACCACTTGCACCATCACCACCGCCACCATTAGCCGGACCAGCCAGCTCTCCGCGCACATCTGATTAAGGGTCAAGTTGGGGTTTTATTTTTGGGGGTCGTGTTACCCAAGGGTGTATGTGATGGTTTTGGGGGGCAAGACAACATTTTGTGTGTGGGTTGGAGGGGGGGGAAATGTATAGGGTATGAGACAGAGATATGAAAAGAATCAAAAGAAAAATGTGGACTCAGTAAGTAATCGTCGGAACTGATAAGCGTGCAGCGAAAAAAGAAACAGAGCAACTAAAGCTGAACTTTCTATTTGAGATAAGATCGGAAAATTTTCTATAAATCTTGGAAGTCTTTACTGAACATCACTTTGTTATAACTTCTAGCTTATCTTATGTCGCAAGGAGTAAATTGCTTATTTCACAAAGATTTCTATATAAATTAATAACTATTAGTAATATTTATATTCCAAGAGAATATCAAAATGTTTGCTATATCTAAACACATTTTTGGTCACCTTCTAACTTTAACACATCCATCCACAACGGGTAATCTGAATTCCCCTATATCATTTATGAGATTAACTTTCTTTAAAATGGTATTAAACAACGATCACTTTAAAAGAAAATAAAGCTGACAATTGCTTTTTGTGATTGATTTGTACAACTGCTAGAGCACCGTACACCCCGCCAAGCAGCCAAGCGAAGAGGAGAATTAACAACTAATGTCTAAAACAACTCACTGGGTGGTCTGTATATATCCATGGCGGGCTTGCCCCTCATCTGTCCGGTCTGATTGCCAGGTACGTTGAAAGCCAGACTTCGGCGTTTGTTGATATTCTGAAACCGCAAACGGAAATATGGTTACTTTGCGATCGATATTGATACGGTTGATTCAGCAATTCACCTGTTGATTCGAGGTGCGCACAAAGCTGCGTTCCCGGGAGATAACGCCGGGAATCAGTGGCTGAAATTCAGGTGACTTGCGCACCTTGCGGGGATCGTTCTGTTGGCCATTCAAAGTGGCCTGGACTTGCTCGACTTTCTCGGCCATCTCTTGATTTTCGAGTCCTAACTCTGCTCTATTTCGATAAACTTAATTGAAGATGAAAGCCTAATCTTTGGTAGACTATCCTCCGGTTAATCGGTTCACAACTGGGATTCCGTGGAATAAACGTCTAAATATGTGGCTTCAGTATTTGAGTAAATTTGTACATATCACAATAGTTGGTTTCCTTTCTCTCCTTCTCCTTACTCCCTTTGTCGAGTTGAGTTCTCTTCTTAATACGATTTGAGGGATGTGCTCCCTGTTTTGCAGATTCAGATTGCTGGGTCTGGAATGCAATTAAAAGTTACAAACCTGAGAAACTAAAGTTTCAGCCCTGAGCCAAGCCCATAACATGTTCACCTACTCATACATCGCGAAAAGATACACAGAAACTGTTTGCCCAACTACTTGATCTCTTCGAGCAACCGGCTTTATTAAGTGAGCGTAGGAGTTGCATCTGGTTTTGGGGCCGCTGGCTAGAGCACTTCGCCTCCGAGAATGACATCAGCCCCCGAGTAATTCTTATTTTGCGGCCCACTAGGAGTCCGAAGCGATTCTCCGCAAAAGATACATAAAGCAGAGTACAGTGATACCTCTCAAATATTAGACTAGTAACTATTCAAAAAATTTAGATAAAGACCAATAGTTAAAACGATTGTACTTTAATTTGTTAATAACGTTTATTAAACTCGGACTTTTGGTGACAAAAACTAATAATGTTTTGGACGTAAGACTTTCTGTTCTGTTGAGTGCTTTAACATATAAGTTGAAAATCTCTTTTAGAAAGGTTCCACTGTCGGTGACTACTACCACAACTATGTGAACTTGCCTCGTTAATTGCTCGACACTCTTTTCCCAGATTAGCAAACAGAGTGTTCGAAACAAGCTGGGCCTGGGATTATGAATCACGGCGATGGATACTCACCTTTTAGTGCAAAAATGTTTCTTCCAAATTGTTTCGTTGTTGTTGCTGCTTGAGCTTTTGTTTATCTCTCTCTCTATAAAGTATATAGATGGGTTTTTTGTTTGTGCGTTTGCTTGTCGTCGATTCGATTGTTGGTGGTGCTGCAGCTTGGTGGTTCGTATAAAGATATTTATCTACTTCGTAGATACGCTCTTTCGTGTCTCGTTTAATAATGCTTGGCATGCGCGCCAAGTCGAGCCATAAGCAGTTAACAAATAAATATAATTAATATTTCAAAGCGGCACTCCACGCCCCAATATTCCGAATATGCAGGAATACTAGATGGTTTATGGACTGCGGTTTTCCAGATACAGATACACTGCACACAGATACACGGAACGCACTCTCGCACACAGGCGCACGCAAAGTGATCACAATAGATTGTAGTGCCTGTTGTTGTCAATGTTGCTGTGGCTGCTGTGCGAGCGAGAGGTCAGCATTAAAATATCAATGAGCGGGTGGCTCGTTAAGTATACGCACCGTTGGTGTCGTCTATTTTTGGTTTGTCGCTTTGTGCTGCTCGTTCTCGGCTCTCGTTGTGATCGTCAATTATTACAATTCCGTTTTGTTTCTTTTGTTCGCGTTATTTTCGTTCGTTGGTTGCTTTTTTATTTTTGTTTTTTGTGTGATTTTTCTCTCTCTTTTAATGCAGATCGCTCGCTAAATAGTTTTATTGTTCGGATTACTCACACTACACACATACATTGCCATGCCAGAGGGATTATTAATTCTTATTTATATACATATATTTATTTCATGTTTAGCCTGCACGCGCTGTTTGTTTTTGCTCCGACTTGTGCGCCGTATTCTTTGGCAATTGCCAAAAATTGCTCACATGTGCCGCATCTATATTTATAGTATATGACAGCGCTGCGAGTGATGACTGTATCGCAGTACTGTGTAGTCACATCTAATAAAATCTATATGCAGTTGGCGTTGCTTCCGTTTCCGCCAGTCAAAAACAATAACATCAAACGGGCAGCTAGGCAAAAAAAAAAAAAACAAAAATGGCAAAACAAGAGTCTATTTCATATTATTGGTCCGATTTATTTAGCATTTTAGTGACCGCCGCAGCAATATGATTTCCGCTCGCAAACTGTTTGTCTATTTTTAAATAGAATTCAAGAAAGAATTCGGGGAGGAAACTTATGTACTCGGCGTGAATCACATAATGGCAGCGCGGACTTAGATCCCGAATCGTTAAAGCAAAATTTAAAGGATCGGGACTATATTTAAATACATTTAACTATTGAACTCGACTTGTGATTTTTTTGGGGTTTTACTTTAGGTTTTCATGGGTTCGTTGCTGTCGATCGAGACACTATATCTGCGGGGTATATCTATTTATCGATGTACGCCGTATTATGTAGGCATGTATATTCGCACGTATGTATGGATGTGAGTAACGCTGCTTGGCTGCTACACTTGGGCGCAGGCTTTAACTTAAAAATTAAATCATCGGCGCGAGCGATCAGTTGAAGACTAAAGACTTGATGAATCGCCTCGCCGCGATCGGTGCCGAAAGCTCTTGAAAACAGTTGTGCTCTCTCGGTTCTTCAGCTCTCTTTTTGAATATACAAACGAATGAAACTCGTGGGAAAATGCGAGAGCAATCCGTTGCGGGTTGTCGAGTTTCCCGAACAGCAAATTGAAAAAGGTTAACAATAGCGCTTCGTACACAATTGATCTTTATCCTTATAACAAGAGGTTCAATTCAATACATAATCAGAAAGGACAACTACATATTCAAGATGACAAATCAATAAAACAAGAAAATAAACTTGTTTGCCTTGGTTTATCGTGGAAATGTTATTTGTTACTAGTAAAAAAAAGAAAAAATTGTCGCCTTATCGTTGACAAATTACTAACTCAATTTATGATCCACTTTCGGCCAATATCCCGCCACATCTCACGTTCTCACGTTGCACACAACAAGTTAAGTAAAATATATAAATACAATATTGATCGGTAAAATTACTCAAAAAAGATTTAAACACAATAATTAGCCAGCGGTTGTAGATCAAATGCTGATGGAGAATAAATACGGTGGTGGGGAGACAAGGACGAGAACGACGGCAACGAGTAAGTCTACTTGGCGGGCGAGGCTATAGAGTTGTTCAGTGAGTTGTTTAGCTGCTCCTCCTGATCCTTATCCAATCCCAGGGCCGTGGTCAACAGCTTAACGACACATCGCTGCTCATGCACTTCGCCCTTCTCGTTGGACGTGATGTCCTTTTCCAGCTTTAGCTTCTCTTCGGCGGCCATAAGGATGCCCTCCTCAATAGTACTTTCGGATATGAGCCGGTAGATGGTCACCGGACGCTGCTGTCCCATGCGATGACACCGATCCTCTGCCTGCTTATCGTTATACGGATTGAAGTCAATATCATGAATGATACAGGTGTCGGCAGCCGTCAGGTTGATGCCAACACCTCCCGCCTTGGTGGAAAGCAGAAACACGAAGATGCTGTCGTCCCCATTGAAGTCGGTGATCAAGTCCTGGCGGACATTCACGGCGGTCGCACCGTCCAGGCGGCAGAAACCGAATTTTCGTATCCGCAAATACTCCTCCACAATGTCCAGCATCATGGTGAACTGGCTGAAGAGCAGCACACGGTGACCCTCTGCCTTCAACTTTGGAAGCAGCGTGTCCAGGTACATGAACTTCCCGGAATCGCAGATCAACTCGTCGGGTATCTTCACGTCGTAAAACTCCTGAAGATGCACAATATAGTTAGCAATTTTAATTTAAAATACCTTTCTGCCAACCACTTACATGCTTGTTACACATCTGATAAACTTGAAAATCTGACATGACGGCCAGCTCCTCAAAAATATATTGTTCGTTTGTCTTCTTGTAGGAACTGGCATTGGCCAGGCGTTTGGAGAATTTACGCAGATTCTCATCAGTGAAATAGTGACGCATTAGCAGCGGATGGTTGGCAATGCGACGCATCTCCATCATGATCGCTATGCCAGCACGATCACTGCTGCTGCACACCTCGCCCTTGTTGTTGGAATAATAGTCGACCAATTCGTGATAGTAATGCTTTTGTTGCGGGCTCATGGATACTTTTTCCTGTCATTATATATTGAATTAGGATGTGTTTAATACATGGTTTTGATCAAAGAGACTTACCACAAGACTTAGCTTCTTGGGCAGGTTTTTTAGGACATCTTTTTTAAGGCGCCTTAGGACAAATGGCTTCATGATGCGTTTGGCTCTCTCGATTTGCGTTTCCTGGAACTGTGAAACTTCTTCCTGATCACCGTCGGTTTTTCCTTTCTGAAAAGAAAGATGACGTGATATTATTTTTGTTTGTATTTTAAAATATTCTGCTTCACCTTGGCGAACAACGATTTTATGTCTTCGATACTCTTTGCAAAGAACTTGGGCATCACGAAACACAGAAGGGAAATCAGCTCTAGAAGATTATTCTGCAGGGGAGTTCCAGTTAGCAGGATACGCATCCTGGCATTGATCGTTATAAGGTTGGCATATCGTTGCGTAGTCATGTTCTTCAGCATGTGTGCTTCATCGAAGATGACATAGTCCAATTTGCAAACCCGGAACATTTTCCTTTCCTCTGGAGTGGATCCAACAATGTGATAACTGTGAATTGTAACCAAATTATAACTTAGGTTTTTCATTCACTTCTGAATGACCTACGTGGTCAGTAGAACATCAAAGCCAGTGAAGCCATCCTTGGCAAAGCGACCCCGCATTCTCCGCCGCTCGTCCTGCGAGCCGTGATACTTTTCCACCACCAGTTTTGGACACCAACGGGTAATCTCCGCCTCCCAATTGTCCAGCGTGGACGAAGGAACCACAATCAAATGGGCCGCTTGACTGAGACCATTCTCCTTTAGGTAAGCCAGAAATGCAATCACCTGAATTGTCTTGCCCAGACCCATTTCGTCCGCCAAAATGCCATTCATTTCCTGTTTGTGCATCACTGTGAGCCAATTCAGCCCTATGATCTGGTAGTCAGCCAGCTGAAAGCTGCAGGAGGACAAGAGTAATTTTTAGAAAATTAATTTCGAAAGAATCTTTGCTGGGACTAACCCGCTGTTAAGGAGCTTAGGCTGCTCTACAATGCCAGCACCATTGGAAATCGCCTTCTCCAAACGCGACACCATGTTGTTGCACTTGCTTAGAATGTTTGCCACGGTGTTCTGTTTGTTGATCAGCTCCTGGGCGTAGTTCAGAAGATCTCCCGACATCCTTATGCTCTCCAGTTTCTTGCGCAGTCCGGCCCAATCCGCAAAAGGTCGCACTTCTATGATGGCTAATGCTTTCTTCTCGGACAGTGTCTTAACCGACTGTAGCTCAATGAGTGAAGCCTCGTTCATGAATTGGAACACTTTTTTGCGCTGCCCCGTCATCTTGGTGGACATCTCGGAGTCGCTGTCATCGCTGTCGTAGACCTGATCCTTGGACTGCTTCACATCCTCGTCATCTGAGTGATCGTTATCCGAAAAATGACCTTGTGAAGTCCCACTGGTCCCGTTCGAGCTGGGCTTCAGCTTTGGCTTGACCAGCGGACCATTCTGTCCCTTGGGCTTGCAGTTCTCCCTAAGATACCGCACAGAGGCGGCCACATCCCAATTCGTACGAGACAGTGACTCCTGGATGGCCTATGAAATAGATATTAAATATTACTTTTTCAAGTTTATTTTGATTATGGTTAACATTAAATTTTAAAAACACTTTGTAATTCATTATAATGTTAAATTATAGTAAAATAAAAAAATTGGGTTATCATTGAAACCAATTGTTACGTTTAGAAATTTTTAAAAATTTTATTTGTTAAAACTAAAAAACAAGTTTAAATTTTGAAATTAAATAAAATAACCATCTTGGTGTCTAATAAAGTTGTTTATAAAAAATCTATTTCATAGACAATGAGAAAAATTTGAACAGTGCTGGAATTGTTTTCATCCCCTCTAGTGACGCCCCTGGCCAACAGACAGCTGTTCGCAACGCCGGGCCCGAACCAAATCGCCATGTTCCGCAAACACAGACGCAGAGACGCGCACTTCCCCGCCATTCCCCCTTGAACTAACAACAAATCTCGCCCAGAAACCTACCATTGTATCGTATTGCGGTGAAATCTTGGCCGCGGCCATGTACCGTTCCTCCTTTTCCTTGACGGTTAGCTCATATTTGATTTTCTTGGGTGTCTGGGAGTCGTTGCCATCGCTGTCACTATCCGCCATCACCTGGATGCGCTTCTTGCCAGGCACTCGCTCTGAAAAACAGGCATTTAGTCACCAAGTTTTTCACTCGGAATTTCGGGTAGGAAATTATTGGTACCAGTTTTCGCAGGACTCGCGGCGACAGAAGAAGCACTCTTGTTGATGCGAAACTGTCGCAAGTCGCTGAGGCTCGACTTTGAAGGCGAGGTCGCGGACGCGGTTGCGGTCACTGAGCTGTCCGACATCGTGGGACAAGGCGAATCGCTTCCTGGTAATGTGTCAGTCCTTATTCACAAATTTTGTTTGCAAGTCCTACGATCGCGAGGTGGTATTTGTGAATTTGTGCATGCTAGTGCGCCCGTTTTGGCTTGCGTCTATAACCTTTCGATTTGGCTAGCAAGCGCGGTCACACTTTGCGGGAGATTTTAATTGGAAATTAATTTTCATATAGACTGCGGAATGCTGTTGTTTATTATTTTTAATTTCTTAAAGGCTTTAATACACTAAAAAAAATTATTTTTAAATATGTCGTTTATGAATCAATACAAAGGTGGTAAATTAAATCGTTCATTAAGCAGTACTATAATTGCTGCGTTTGTTTGCAATAAGTTTATAACCTCAATAATGACGAACGTAGAAGATGTTTTCATAATTTCTGAAGCCATTCTTTAAAAAAACCGCCAGATCGGCTAAACAAAATAGCTAAATTCAGTAGAGTTGCCAGATCCAGCACCCAATCGACTTATCGGTTCCCCACCCGGCAATCGAGCTTCGCGACGCGTTGCAACCCTTGCTTTTTTTCGCTTGCTCTTGCAGGTTAATTGAAAATATTTAATTGCGAATAACCCGCTTGCCGAGCCCAGGACGAACTAAGAACGTGGCAAACATGGCTGGCGGCAACACCCCGCGTGTGATCCAGGTGACCAACATAGCGCCGCAGGCCACCAAGGACCAGATGCAGACGCTGTTTGGGAACATTGGCAAAATCGAGGAGATCCGCCTGTACCCAACAATTCGGGACGTCTCCTGTCCAGTGCAGTCGCGCATCTGCTACGTGAAATATACGGAGACGACCAGTGTGCCGGTGGCCCAGCACCTGACCAACACGGTGTTCATTGATCGAGCCCTGATTGTAATCCCCGTGCTGGCCATTCCCGAGGAGTACCGGGCCCTGGAAATGCTTAAGAACGGCACCATTGTGCCGGGACTCCAAAAGCCGGACTCTAAACTGCCGCCAGAGGTAATTAATCGCATAGAGGGTCAGTTGCCGCAGCAGGTGATCAAGACGTACGACCCCAAGCTGGTCGAGTTCAATCTGCCGGAGTACCCTGCCTTGCCCTCCTTCTACGACGCCCGAAAGATCGAGGAGATCCGACGCACCATCATCGTGTGCGATGTGAAGAACGAGTGGCGATTGGACGATCTGATGGACTGCTTCCAGCGCGCCGGCGAGGTGAAGTATGCACGCTGGGCCGAGAAGGACAACAAGACGTACTGCATGATTGAGTTCTGCGAACAGACTAGCATTATCCACGCCCTGCGCATGCAGGGTCAGGAGTTTAAGGGCGGACACTTAAGCGTTTACCACTCTACCTACTCGATTACCAAACCGGAGGCCAAGTCCAACGAGGCGGCGCAGGCGGAGATCGAGGAAGCCATGACGATTGTGAAGGAGGCACAAAGTATGATCTCGGCCGCCATTGACCCCGTGATTGGAATGCTCGCTAAGGACAAGCGGCGCCGGTCGAGATCACGTTCCCGATCCCGAGAACGTCGGACCAGTCGCTCGCGCTCGCACCGCTCCACATCAAGGCGGCGCTCTAGACGCTCTGGCTCCAGGGAGCGACGCAGTGTTTCCCGTTCCCGTCGTTCACGTTCACGTGGCAAGCATTCATCCCGGTCGCGCAGCAAGCGCTCTAGGTCGAGGCACCGTCGCAGCAGCTCGCGTTCCAGGAGATCACGCTCCCGTGGCGGCAAGCACTCTCGTTCTTCAAGGTCGCGGGGCAAGCGCTCGAGGTCCCGTCATCGCCGCAGCACTTCACGCTCTCGTAGCTCACGATCCCATGGCACCGGAGGAGGGGGCAGTGGAAATGGCAAACGGTCCCGATCCCGCGAACGCAGTAAGAAGTCTCATCGCAGCGAGAAGCGATCCTCGCGTTCACCTCGGTCTAGGAGCAAGCGCAGCTCACCCTCTCCGCCGCCGGCGACCAGTAGCAGCAAGTCCCGTTCCAGTCGCAGCAAGGACCCAGCAGTTGTGTCCTCCAAGTCATCGAGGCGGCGCGAACGCTCACGCACTCCCGAAACACGCAAACTTAAATCCATCTCCGAAGACATTGAGGTGAAGAGCTCGCGCTCCAGCGCCGATTCAAAGTCACGTAAATCGGTGAGCGTCGAAAAGTCGGACAACATGGACATCTCCAACTCGCCCTAGATACTTAGAGATTGAACACTACATTATAATAAATACAGAACTTAAGTAATCCCGTCTGCAGTATAACCGGAAACCCATTATCCTCAATGAGATTTGTATTCCACTCACACTCTGTCCTAGTTCCCAAGCATAAAGTCTAATTAAAAGTGCAGCATTTACGCATTCTTTACTCAGGGGAAACCACTGAAAATATTCAATAAGTAAAAGGTGGTGTTACAATCATCTAAAGTCGTAAAACAGTTTGTATTTTTCTTAATTTCTTATGGAACAATTTTTAATGTAAAAGGAAACTACAACTACCTACAACGTTGAGGCCATCAAACTTAAAAAAACGCATTTTAACTAAATAATAATGTTAAGAAAAATATTTAAGTCATTAATCCATAAACAAAAGGGTTTTGTTTCATCATGAGTTGCAATTCCTCGTTGGTCACTCGTCAAATTATTTTTTCGCAGTGCATCATACAGCTGAATTTTTGTGGGCTTGTCTCTTGTCTGCTTGCGAGAGTATAACCGGAAAAAGCTTTTGAGCTTTCACCCAATAATATGTCGGCGTGAGCGGCGAGTCGCAACCAGAAGACGAGAGTTTTTTAACTGCGGTAGACGTTTATTTCTGTATTAACTTAGTTTTTATAATAATTAGGAGTGAAAATATTACAAAATGTCTGCAGCAACTAAAGGTAATTTTGTGCTCCGATTTGTATAGATACATATATAGATCGATATAATGCCCGGTTAAGTGCGAGATGATCTTGTCATGGGGGTCTGTACTTTGGACTTGTTGATGTCTTATCTGATGCTATCCCCTCCGGACTCAGCCGGTTGCACTTTGGACCTGTTGAATCGAAAACAAAAATCCGCTTTCGTTTATTGCTGAATTTGTGCTATCATTCTTTGCCTACGCACATTATATATGTACATATATGTTCTACATATGTTTGTATGTTCTATATAAGGTATCTATATTGTGGCTGCCAAGCGTACGGCCTTTGGAACCTTTGGTGGATCCTTGAAAGGTATTAATCAGACCCAGTTGCAAACCACTGCGGCCAAGGCTGCCCTGGATGCTGCTGGCTTAAAAGGAGAGCAGGTGGACACCGTCATTGTAGGAAATGTAATTGCGGTAAGTAGGTCCTTAAAGATCCTTTTGGGGGAAGGAGACGCTAAAAAGTACAGTATCGGTTAAAAAATATATACACAAAGTTATCTTATCATGCGTACATTTGTATTTAAGAAATGATAGTAAAAGTTTTCACAATTTTGGAGCTAAGATTACATACGTTTGTAGATCAGATTGATCAAGTAATAAATGTATTTTAATCATTTGGCATTTTTATTAAATATGTTTTTATGTACATAAAAATAAATAAGGTTTAATATATGTACATACATAACCTCATAGACATTAATTGGTAATGAGAAATAAGTACATACATACGTATTCTATTCTGAGATATTTTTGAACCATATATATACTTAAATAAAGAGACACATATGTATGTATGTATCTTATTTTATAAATCCTTTAAAATGACGATTTACCCTTAAAATTTACACTTTTCCACCCCTTAGTCCTCATCTACGGATGGTATTTATGTGCCCCGCCATGTGGGTCTCAACTGTGGCGTGCCCATCGAGAAACCCGCTCTTGGCATCAACCGTCTGTGTGGTTCTGGGTTCCAGTCCATCATCAACGGAGCCCAAGACATCCTGGTTGGAGGTGCCAAGATTGCTCTGACCGGCGGAGTGGAGAACATGTCCCAGAGTCCCTTCATCGCAAGGAACGTTCGCTTTGGCACCACCTTGGGAGCCAACTACAATTTGGAGGACGCTCTGTGGGCTGGACTCACCGATACCTACTGCAAACTGCCCATGGCTCTGACTGCCGAGAACCTGGCTGATCAGTACAAGATCAGCAGGGAACGCGTGGATGAGTTCTCACTGCTGTCGCAGAAGAACTGGGAGAAGGGACAGAAAGAGGGTGCTTTCAATGCCGAGATCACACCCATTAAATTGAAGGTCAAAGGCAAGGAGGTGGACTTCGTGGTGGATGAACATCCGCGTCCCAAGACCACCATTGAGGGTCTGAACAAGCTGCCTTCGCTCTTCAAGAAGAATGGTGTTGTCACTGCTGGAACTGCCTCCGGAATCTGTGATGGCGCCTCTGCTGTGATTGTGGCCTCCGAGGAAGCTCTCAAGGAGTACAACCTTAAGCCTCTGGCCCGACTTGTGGCCTTCTCCTTTGTGGGTGTGAAGCCAGAGATCATGGGCATTGGACCAGTCCCCGCCATTCAGAATGTCCTCAAGGTTGCTGGCAAGAAACTGGAGGATATTGATCTGATTGAGGTAATCCTTTTAAAATTCAAGTTTGAAATAGGAAACTAAACATATACTCTTCAGATCAACGAGGCCTTTGCCGCCCAAACTCTGGCCTGTGCCGATGCCCTGAAACTGGACACCTCCAAGCTGAATGTGAACGGTGGAGCCATTGCTCTTGGTCATCCTCTCGGTGCCAGTGGTTCCCGCATCACTGGTCACCTTGTTCACGAGTTGCAGTGAGTTTAACAAACCTTTTACCAGCTAGTATACCTCATAATGAATTTCCCTTTGTTTTCTAGGCGCAAGAAGCTGAAATACGGAATTGGATCCGCCTGTATCGGTGGCGGCCAGGGAATTGCCGTTCTCCTGGAGGCTGTCTAATCTTAAAGCTCTTCTGAAACTCTCCTCCTGCATTTACACTGAAATTCCGTTTCTCCCTTGTTAGTAATAAAGCGATTATTTTAACTTTACAATTTATTAAATCATCTGCGAATGGAAGTTGATCATCAAGCTTTCTACAAGAAAGACAACAAGTTGGCGTTTTATACTATGAAGTTTGTATGTTCGCACTGCTGAAAATGCCAATCGAAACGGGGCTGGCGTGTGAAAAAGTGGACCAGCCCACGGTCCCAGGAAATCTCTTGAAGGGCCTTACATTACGAGTACATGAACATTAATGGACATGGTTGCTATTATTCCGCTCAGTTCGTCTGGGCGCTGGTGGAGAAGAGCGCCAGGGCGCCGCTGGCAATGCCCACGGAAAAGATGTAGTTGACAAACGGTGTCGAGTTCTTCAGGATGAAAAAGCTAATGAAGATGATCACAGCCAGGTAGATGGCGTTGTTGTAGAAGATCGAGAAGGTGGTGGCCTCGTAGTCGGCTACCTCGTTCTTCTTCCACAGGATGCGCTCGTCCTTCTCCTTGCGCGTGACCTTCTTGTCGTCGCCCACCTGACGGTTGACCTCGCGGGTCACTGCCTCCTCCCGACGTCCGGCGATCTTGTGCTTCAGCTGGAACTTGATGTTCTTGTAGGCGGTAGCCATCAAGTAGGTGCTAGCGGCGGTCACCAGAACAAACAAGATGGAGCTGGGCCACAGGTCCATGTTGTGGATGCGCCAGAAGAGCCCTGCAAGACATCATTCATTCAACATTCGCCGAGTGTCCCAAAAGTATCAACGTGTCACTTACAGATAGGGACCGCCGACACGATGAAGGCATTGCCGTAGAAGAGAGCCGACGACTTGGTGCTCACGTTGCGGCTGAAATCCTGCAGCAGCAGCTCCTCCTCCTTGGTGAAGCCCGAAGACTGCACTTTTTGTTGCTTGCCAGAGCCCATTTTTGGTTCGATTTTCGTGGAGAAAGTAGCTGCGAAGTGAAGACCGAGCTGGAGTGTACACGAATGCAAGAATGCGAGTCGCTTTCGGCACCGACGAGTTGTGACGTGTAAACGTCAAAAACGCAGGGTTGCAGCGCGGCTGTCAGCTCTAAAAGTCAATTGCCGATAACATCGTTGTCACCTATCGGAATTGACGCGCCCAAATATTTATTTGAATGGTGATTTACAATTTTTTTTTAAGTTTATTATATACATAGTATTCTATTGTAAGGTTGCAGGCGGTTAAAAAATAAATAGCTCCAAACGTTTACATATTTAAAGTCAATTCACTGAATTAAATTGTATCTAGCTTTTACCAGCTGTCCCATAGAAATAAGTATGTTATTATGTCGACAACCATGCAAATTATTAATTGCCTTAATTACTTTCTACCTGCCCATAATTAAATAATTTCGAATCCATTAGTATAGCAGTAACCTTATTATATTTATACATATATCTCATGCAGGGGAGTGTGTTGGGCATTCACGGTAAGCCGATTCCCGATTTTAGCCCCTCTTACACCGCCACTGCCTATCGATAGCGCAACAGGTTCTGCAGCAGCTGAGTTAGCTTGTTAAATTTCTCCGTTAAAATAATAATAACAGGTAAATAAAAAAACTGTGCAATCATAGAAGTTTTAAGACTTGCTATTTTAAAACATTAATTTTAATTTTAAATTTGAAGTAGAAGCATATTAAGAATCCAGAAAGAGAAGAAGACCGGCATCTGTCCAAAGGTCATCTATAGTTGTTTACGTCTTATTCGCTTTTCAGATCATAATGCTTCGTTCAAAAGTGCTAAGTTTGGTGGCCCGTAGTGCCTCCAGTCGTCTGATGTCAACCGGCACAAAGTTGACCACTGTGGAGGTAAATGACAAAAGCGGCATCGCCATACTCACAATGAACCGGCCACCCGTAAATGGTCTCAACTTGGAACTGCTGCAGGATCTGAAGAGTTCCATTGATGAAATCGAGGACAACAAAAGCCGCGGTCTCATCCTGACATCAGTTCGTATAACTATAGGTTGTTACAAATACATATATATATATATATTAATGTAATACTTTATCATTAGTCGAGCTCGACAATTTTCTCGGCTGGTCTGGATATCCTGGAGATGTACAAGCCGGATAAGGACAGGATTCGCGCCTTCTGGACGCAACTGCAAGAGACTTGGCTGGCGCTTTATGGCAGCAGTGTACCCACAGCAGCAGCCATCAATGTGGGTTTTTGGAAAATTGCTACGAATTGAATTCTAACTATCTTTTATATTAGGGCCACTCCCCCGCCGGCGGATGCTTGCTGGCCACTTCCTGCGAATACCGGGTTATGGTGCCAAAGTTCACAATTGGTCTAAATGAAACCCAACTTGGTATCGTGGCCCCAAAATGGTTCATGTCCTCATTTTTGAGCGTTTTGCCACAGCGGGAAGCAGAGCGTGCTCTCAACCAAGGACGCATGTTTACCACGGAAGAGGCTCTAAAAGTGGGTCTCATCGATGAGACTGCCAACAGCAAGGAGGAGGCCATCGAGAAATGCACTGCCTTTATTGGAACCTTTGCTAAGGTCAATCCGCTGGCCAGGTCACTGACCAAGCAGCAATTCCGCGCTGCCGATCTGCAGCAATTGGAAAATGAACGCAAGGAAGATTTGGAGAAGTTCCTGTTCTTTGTCAACCAACCAGCCGTGCAGAAGGGTCTGGGCATTTATCTGGAGGGTCTGAAGAAAAAAGCCAAGAAGCAATAATCAAATGATTTTATAATTTCCATTTATGTGTTTAACTTTGTACTCATGAAGCAAGAATAATTGTTTAACCGAGAAAATAAAATATGATTTTAAATGTTTTTTAAAAACAAGACAAAGCTAAGTTCATTATATGAATTTTTCGACTCTCCTACCTTAGTTTCTCAATTTCAGTTTATAAAGATATTCTTCGCGGCTTTTACTGTTTAATTTTTAAATTTGATTATATTCGATAACTCTTAGCCGGTCAGCTGATAGCTGATGGTTGGAAATATTCCACTGAAGATCAGTAGTTCTTTAGCAGCTGTAGATAACAACAGTTAAAATAAAGTTGCAAGGATTTACGTAAATATTTAGTTAACTAGATATATCCTTGGAGCCTCTGTTGATTTTTGATTGTACAACTGTTTCCTATTTTAGCCGGTTTAAAGAAGACATCCCAGGACAAAGGTCACCTTTAATACCTATCAAACAACAATGCTGCCCTCAAATATTTTAAGATTTGTGACCCGCGGGGGTTCCAAAAAACTTATGTCCACTGCCACCAAGTTGGCCACCGTGGAGGTCAACGATAAGACTGGAATAGCCACTGTCACATTGAACCGACCTCCGGTGAATAGCCAAAATGTGCAATTATTGTTGGATCTGCAATCTTGTGTCAGCGAAGTCGAGAATAACAAGAGCAGAGGTCTTATTTTAACCTCCGTATGTTGGTGCAATCAATAAATATCGTATTTTACTTATAAAAGTAAAATTTTCAGGCTTGTTCCAATGTGTTTTCAGCTGGCCTGGACATCTTCGAAATGTATAATACCGACAAGGAGCGACTCCGTACGATTTGGACTGAACTGCAAAATGCGTGGATTGCCTTATACGGAACTAGTTTACCAACGGCAGCAGCCATCAATGTGAGTTAAATTATTTATTTGTTATTTTTATTTTATAAAATACTCCTTTGATTTTTTTTAGGGACACGCCCCTGCTGGAGGATGTCTTTTGGCCACCGCCTGCGAGTATCGTGTGATGTTACCCAATTTTATGATCGGGCTTAACGAAACTCAACTAGGAATCATTGCTCCCAAATGGCTGATATCTGGATTTACCAATGTACTGCCCAATCGGGTGGCAGAACGTGCTCTTACCCAAGGACGCATGTTTACCACGGAAGAAGCTCTCAAGGAAGGATTGGTCGATGAAATTGCCAATACCAAGGAGGAGGCCTTGGAGAAATCCGGCGCCTTCATAGGCAGCTTTGCAAAGGTCAATCCAGTAGCCCGCGGTCTCACCAAGCTTCAATTCCGTGCGGACAATATTAAGGAATTTGAAAAAATACGCGAAAAAGATGTGTCAGATTTCATAGCCTTAGTCTCACGTCCAGATATTCAGAAGGGTATGGGCATTTACCTCGAAAATCTGAAGAAGAAGGGAAAGAAAAACTGAACTAGATGCATTTTAACACATCAATTTTGATTTTGACCAGACAAGCATTTAAAGGCAGATCCCCTTAGCTCTAGATTCTTAGATTTCTTCAAAAGATATCATGATTAATTGAACTATATTCGTAAATAGCAATAAATGAAAAATGTTAACAAAACGATATGTTTGAACTTCGGAGGTCGATTTGATAGTAATAGTTTTTTATTTGCTCGCAAGATTAGCACTTAAATAAAAAATCACAACAAAACTAATAATATAAGTGTTAACCGGAAGGTAACGTTTCAATTTGGAAGGAAAGAAGTATTTTCGTTTCCAATCAAGAACGTGGTAAATAATTTATATATACTGAGTATATTTTCGTTTCTACCTTTAGATACCCCCAATAAACACTTTTTGATCATGATTTTGTGCCATCGTATAAACTTTGCCTGGAAATCCCGTACCAGCTGATCGTTTCGGCTTGAGTGATTGTTTGTTTTCTGGTTTGCAACTCGACTTTCTATATGATAAACAGGTTAATTTGTTTAAATTCCTGCCTGCCGCTCAGTGCGTGATTGTTGCTCCAAATCCAAAGTCGTAATGTTGCGTAACACGCTGATAAATGGAGTCAGGGGAATAAAACCGATCCTTTGCGGGGGCCAATCTCTGAGATGCCTTGCAACTGCAGAAAACTCAAAGCTGACAACTATTGAGGTGGATGATAAGAGTGGAATTGCCACCCTGTCGATGAACCTGCCACCGGTGAACACTTTGACCATGGATTTAATGCACGACCTCATCGACTCGATCAATCAAATAGAGAGCAACAAGAGTCGCGGTCTTATCCTGACTTCTGTGAGTGGGGTTCCCGAGAATCTCTATATTATTTTAAAAACCTATTTAATAATTTTTTTAGAGCAATGACAAGGTGTTCTCCGCTGGCCTTGATCTCAATGAGCTGCTGAATCCGGAAGTGGATCGCTTGAGATTATTCTGGACCCGTTTCCAGGATTTATGGCTAGCCCTGCATCTTTGTGGTATTCCCACAGCAGCAGCTATTAACGTAAGAAAACAGGAAAGTGTTTTGTTTGCCAATTAGAATTCTAATTACTTATCAATTTTCTTTAACTATTATCAAAATGCTATTCGTTAAGTATACCTGATATTGATAAGTGGAATTGTTTTATAACTATCAAATTGATACGCTTATTATCTGTTTTGAAGTACTTTATAAAAGTTCTGTGTACATTTTTCAAGATAGGTTATAAAATATATTATTTAATCTTCCTTTCAGGGTCACGCTCCTGCCGCAGGTTGTGTTTTGGCCACAGCCTGCGAGTACCGGGTGATGCTCCCAAATCTCTTCATCGGAATCCATGCCACTCGCTTCAGTTTTGTGATATCTAAGTGGATGATGAACTCGTACCAGAGTGTCCTGCCCCGCAGGATTGTGGAAAGAGCTTTGAACCAGGGTAAACTCTTTCCAACTCAGGAAGCACTAGATGTGGGCCTCATTGATGAGGTTTCTTGCAGCAAGGAGGAGGCTCTCGCCAAGTGTGCCACCTTTATAGGAACCTTCGAAAAGGCCAATCCTCTGGCAAGGACCTTAACCAAGCGAATGTGTCGCGAACCAGACGTCCGTGATCTTCTCAACGATCGAGCCGGGGATCTAAAGGAGTGCGTTGACTATGTCACCACTCCCCTTTTCCAAGAGGGTCTGTGTGCCCATCTTGAAGGTCTTAAGAAGAGGAAGTAACCGGCTTCCAAAGCTAGGTGATCAAACTTGCATTTATTTTATATGTACATATATGTGTATTAAAATTGTTAATCAGACGGGTCTTTCTGGTGCAATTCGCCTGGCAGATTGGCCAAAGCCTCTGTCATCATTTCCATAAATGAGTTGATCTCCAGAATTTTGGCTCGGTGGCGGTCTACTTCTTTGCTGTAAGAGGATATATTTTATTAATGAATGCATTTTAAAGGTTTGTTCTACATACTTGTTAAGCTGTTGAATCATTTCATCGATAAACTCCCTACTGCGATGGACCATTCGATCCTCGCGTTCATCCACCCTTGAGGTATGGAATGTCCTCATTCCCTCCACTAATTGAAGAACTGCCTCGCGATCATCCACACACTTTCTCAGTTCTTTAGGAATGGCCTTCAGATCATTGCGAGCAAGCTTGGTGGACAGGAACTGGGTTACAATTTCCGTCATGTTGTCGGCGAAGTGAGCACAAAGATCTCGGAGCTGCTGGAAAAATACCTGAGCCTGCTCCACGAAACTGGCCATAAGTTCGGAGATCTTGCGATTGAAGTTTAGCGTGGAGTCCTGTCGAGAAAATAAATTAGCTTTTTAATCTTGAATACAAAAGTTGACTTACCTCAATAGCCTCATGAAGATGAAGTTCCTGAGCCATCAGACTTTGCCACATTTCATTTAGGGCATCTTCAAATGCTTCATTGAGACTGTCCAACTGGGTTTGCAACTCCTCCAAATCTTCGTCGCGTTGATCGAGTTCTCTCCACTTGAGACGCATTTCGTCAAAAGTTTTATCCTTGTACTGCAGGAACTCCTCTATTTGCCGTTGTCCCTGAGATTGTAGCTCCTCTTGTCCTTCATAAAGGTTGGTCCTAAAGTCACGTATCTCCTCATCCCGCTCACCAAAGCGCTCCAAGCCAAGGCGATAGATCAGCTGGGTGAGTTCGTGCACATCCTTGGAGTACTCCTCGTAGAGTTCCTGAGCTTGTGCCCCCACCAACATTAGGCTGCGTCCATCTTCGTCATCTCGCCAAAAGGACTCGAACAACTGCTGACCATCCAGGTGCTCCACAAAACTGGAGGCCAACCGATCCGCTTCCGCCATTTCACGAGCCGCTGTTTCAAGTCCTTGAATTTCCCTCTCCTGTTTATCCTCGATTTCGCGTAATTCACGGCTATTAAGAGTTAATTAAGTGATTACTTGTAGGACTACCTAAGCTGGAAAGGAATACTTACTAGAAACGCTTCTGTGCTTCTTCCCGCTTCTCAGCCTTGATGAAAACGTATTCGTAGTAGTTCAACTGGGGCAGAATGGCAGTCACATAAAGAGATAAAGGGAAATCGGGTAGTTTGGCAATGGGATTACCTTCCAGGTTGAGAACTTTAAGGCTGCCCACAAAACGCAAACGTTCAATCTAGATAAAAAACAGAAATAAACTTAAAATTTAAAATACATTTTGACACATTTCCAATTCCGATTACCAAACACTCTTTATAAGGTTTGTTATCGTTTTGTTTCCAGTTAAAGTTTATAGAAGTCTATTATTAGGTATTATATCATTTATCTTTAGCAACCAACACTAATTAATGGTAATTCAATTATCATTTTCTATAACCTTACCCCCTCGACAGTATCAATAAGATTATTGCCAATGCTGAGAATAACAAGTTTCTCCAAGGTATGGATATTCTCGATTTTACGAATACGATTGCTGAATAGGGAAAGTTTTTCCAAGTTGACCAGAGTTTCTAGATTTTCAATCCTTGTTATGTAGTTGAAGCTGAGATTGAGATCTTTAAGAGCAGTCAGCATGTTAAGATGCTCAATGACCTCAATTTTGTTGCAATTTAAGCAGAGCTTTGTGAGATTGGGCATCATCCAGAGATGATCAATCCTCAGAATATCTGCGATGAAAGATCTTTAAAATACATGTTCTCCTTTGAAGGACGTTATGTAGTTACTTTTGAATTCCAGTCGCATGGTGGTAATGCGATCGTAAACCACTGGTTCCAGTTGGTGGAGACGTCTAGCTTCGCCCTTTTGTCCCTCCTCCAGATAGGCGGTTTCGATCATGGGACGATCTATGATGCCGGGTTCCGGGCAGTTGACCTCCTCCAGAAAACCCTTCAGAGGCTCCTCTTCCTCCTGCTCCTCCTCCTCCTCCGCTGCTGCTGCATTCTCCGTTGGCTGATTGCTGACCGGTTCGTCCATTATAGTTGACTCTCGCTGGATATATATTCCTAGTCCGCGTGGTCTCCAAATGGTCATGTGGTTGCCAGGGGCAACCCGTAAAACATTGCCCTGCCTAGTAACCATCGTCCGTATTCCACCCTTAAATACTTCGGGGGCTACACAGCTAAAAAAACAGCTATGTAATTAAGCTCCTCCTAAAGAAGTAGTACATAGAAGTAGAATAATTATTCAAACTTAAATGTGTATAGCAGCTATAAAGCTTATAAATTCTTAATGAAGAACATTATCTGATAAGAAAAGGATTACCATTTCTTATCTAGCTATTATTCCTTGTTAATTTTAAAGAGTTTATATATCGAATGCCGTTTTTTCCTGTGTAGTAAAACCGGAGACCCAATGAGCCGGCTCGGGTACCTTCGGCTTTCTGGCTTTCTCTCCAGGATTCGTTTAGGGTGGTCTACTTTGGACTGCGGTTGCCTGGTCGTCGCGTTGTTGTGGATATCGTTCCCGTCAGTTGTTAGTGCTTGCTTATCAAATAAACTTCTGTTCGCCAAAGGATATCCGCATCAGGAGCATAAGATTAAAGCCCATTTAATTGTGATTAGCACAATAAATCGAGCGATCTCGGATTCAAATGCAATTGCGTTTAAGGTACAAGTGATATGAAAACTCATACTCTTATCCTTCTTATAAAGATAGTGAATGGAGGGGAAAACCAAACGGACTTTGTCAACCCCCCGTTCAATCGATAAAGTGACCCCGAACATTATAGTTTGTTTATTTGCTTGTACACGGTGCGAAAAGTTGCTTATCGGATATAGTTAGTGCATATAGAATCGGCTAATCGGGCGTCGGATGTGCGTGCCCAGAGTTTAAGTGAGTCAAATGCGAGTGGTTCAAGGCTGTGACTCAGGATTCAAGAAACGTGTTTCTGGTTGCCCCAAGACCGACCCTCCTCCCAAAAAATGTAAACCAAAACAATACATATATACCACCTTAAAGGCAAATTGAAGGTGGGAATGGTTCGTATACTATGAATAAATTATCGCCCAAGGAACTAAGTTCGCCAAGTGACCACAAACCAATTACGAAACACGACCACTTCGAATTAAGTATACTAAATATTTACTAGTTTTGCTTAGTTTTATAGTAAACTAATAAAATCCATTCAAAAATGGAAACTTAAATAAACCTAAAACTATATTATCTACTGTTACATAAAAAAAGCGAAACTTATCAATTTCATGGCTCAAATTTGTACTGTTAAAAAATCAAAACTTCCTTAGAGTCGACGCTTTAACTTTAATTATGTACTTTACTGAATCATTTAAAGATATTAAAGTTGGTGCTCATACATATTTTAGTAAAAGAAAACTAGAAACATATGTAGTATTTCATTATCTCATTAAGAACAACATTTTAAGAAATTGTTTGTTAAAGTTCCTTTTTGATTTCGTAGTTTATTTAAACGTGGACAATTCAATAAGGCAATGCATTGGTTTATTTTTTCATTATTTATTAAATGAAAATGAAATCTTCTATGGATTCAATAGATTTTATTCCATTTTTAATAGAGTCATCCCAGTCCAAAATTGTACGGACGGGGCGGCGGGTCGTACATCATCACAAAAGATAGTATAAGCTGCAGCAACATGTTTTTAAAAATGATTACAAACTGTGTTCTGCTTGCATTTAAAGGCAAAGTTTATAATTTAATTATACCCGTTTAACGACTTTATTTAAATTGTATGTGTAAAACAAATGGGTTACTAATTAAATGTCATCGTTGTTCTGCACTTTTAAATTTCTGCAGTATTTCATAATTTCATTTGGAACATCATTTCAAGAAATTCTTGTCAATGCTCCTTTATGGTTTCCCAGTTTAATTAAAGGTAAACAATTCAATAAAGAAAAAATTGTTTGATTTTTATACCCTTGCAGAGCAAAGGGTATTTTAATTTCAGTCAGAAGTTTGCGACGCAGTGAATGAGACACCTCAGAACCCATAAAGTATACATGTTCTTGATTAGCATCACGATCAGAATCGGAATACGTCTTAAATTTCATCAAAATCGAACAACTATATCATATCGCTGTCATATGAACAATAGTCGAAAATATGTTAAATTAATAGAAAGATCGTCGTTTCATCGATGTTTAATGACTGCAAGGGTATATCAGGTATTCCTTTCTTGTTTTTTATAATTTATGCGATCATAACAAAATTCCCAATAATTTGAATGTATTTCATGATTAAAAAATGTGTTATGCTTGCATTTAAAAGCAAAGTTTATAATTTAATTATAACCGGTTAAGGACTTTATTTAAATTGTATTCGTGAAACAAATGGGTTACTGATTAAATGTCATCGTTGTCGATCAGAACAAAATTCCCAATAAACTAAAATATTGTTTGATTTTTTCATTATTTATTAGATGAAAATACAATTCATTCCATTTTTATTTGCGTCCTCCCAGTTCAATGGAGAATTTTCCATGGTATACCGCCAAAATAAAAAGTAGTAGAAACTTCAGAGCTCGCATTTAAAAGCAAAGTTTTTAATTTGATTTTGAACACTTTAAATTAAAATTCCGACTTTATTTAAGTTGTATTCGTATAACTAATGTATGCATTTTGCCCCTCATTTAGTAATTCGTTCCGAAAACATTATAAACGCTTTAATTTGAAATTGCGACTTTATTTAAATTGTATTCGTAAAACAAGTGGGCTACTGACTAAATATTTATAGTAATCGTTGTTTTACACTTTTAAATTTTTGCAGTGTTTCTTAATTTTATTTGGAAAAACATTTCGAGAAATTCTTGTCAGAGTTCCTTTTTGATTTCCCAGTTTAATTTAAAGTAAACAATTCAATACAGAAAAAAATTGGTTGAATTTGTCATTATTTATTAGATGAGAACAAAGTTCTCTATGAACTGGATGGATTTCACTCCATACTTGATAATGGTAGTGTAAAGGAGAACTGTGATGTGAGTGCCAAAATAAAAGGTATTAGAAACTGCAGAGCCATCTTTTTAGGAGTGATTAAAAAAATCTGTTCTACGTGCATTTAAAAGCAAAATTTTTAATTTGATTTCAAACGCTTTAAATTGAAATTGCGACTTTACTTAAATGGTATTTATATAACTAATGGGTTACTGATTTAATTTGTAGGTATAACCTTTTTTTGAATTCTGTATGCATTTTTCCGGACATTTAGTAAATTGTTCCGAAAGCATTATAAACGCTTTAATTTGAAATTGCGACTTTATTTAAATTGTATTCGTAAAACAAATAGATCACTGGTAAAATTCTTATTCTTATCGTTGTTTTGCTCTTTTGAATTTCCACAGTTTTTTATTTTTTTTATTTTGAACAAAATTTTAAGATTATGTTTTTCAAGTCCCTATATGATTTCCTAGTTTGTTTAAATGTGGACAATTAAAAAAAGAAATGTATTGGTTTATTTTTATTATTATTTATTAGATGAGAATAAAATCCCCTATAATTTGATGGATTTCAATCCATTTTTATTGGGGTCACCCCAGTCCAAAGGAGTACTTTCCATTCTTGTACGCCAAAATAAAAGGTAGTATACGTAGAAGCAGCAGAAACATCTCTTTAAAAGTGATTAGAAAATGTGTTCTTCTTGCACTTAAAAGCAAAGTTTTTAATTTGATTATAAACGCTTTAATTAAGTTAGTTGTATTCGTAACACAAGCGGGCAACTGATTAAATGTTTATCCTCATCGTTGTTTTGCATTTCTGCAGTATTTCATAATTTTATATGGAACAATATTTCAAGAAATTCTTGTCAGAGTTCCTTTTTAATTTCCCAGTTTAATTAATTGTTAAAAATTCAATAAAGAAATGCATTTGTTTATTTTTTCATTATTTATTAGATGAAAATAAAATTCACTCCATTTTTATTTGCGTCCTCCCAGTTCAAATGAGGATTTTCCACGGTATACCGCCAAAACAAAAAGTAGTACAAACTTCAGAGCCATCTTTATATGACTGATTATAAAATCTGTTCTGCTTGCATTTAAAAGCAAAGTTTTTAATTAGATTTTAAACGCTTTAAATTAAAATTGCGACTTTTTTAAAGTTGTATTCGTTTAACTAATGTAAGCATTTTGCCCGATATTTAGTAATTCGTTCCGAAAACATTATAAACGCTTTAATTTGAAATTGCGACTTTATTGTTGTATTCGTAAAACAAGTGGGCTACTGACTAAATATTTATCGTAATCGTTGTTTTGCACTTTTAAATTTTTGCAGTGTTTCTTAATTTTATTTGGAAAAACCTTTCGAGAAATTCTTGTCAGAGTTCCTTTTTGATTTCCCAGTTTAATTTAAAGTAAACAATTCAATAAAGAAAAAAATTGGTTGATTTTGTCATTATTTATTAGATGAGAACAAAGTTCTCTATGAACTGGATGGATTTCACTCCATACTTGATAATGGTAGTCTAAAGGACAACTGTGATGTGAGAGCCAAAATAAAAGGTAGTAGAAACTGCAGAGCCATCTTTTTAGGAGTGATTAAAAAAATTTGTTCTACGTGCATTTAAAAGCAAAATTTTTAATTTGATTTCAAACGCTTTAAATTTAAATTGCGACTTTACTTAAATTGTATTTGTATAACTAATGGGTTACTGATTTAATTTTTATATCCTTTTTTTGAATTCTGTATGCATTTTTCCCGACATTTAGTAAATTGTTCCGAAAGCATTATGAACGCTTTAATTTGAAATTGCGACTTTATTTAAATTGTATTCGTAAAAGAAATGGGTTACTGATTAAATGTTCATCCTTACAGTAGTTTTGCACTTTTTTTTTAAAGAAAAGTTTATAATTTAATTATAAAAGCTTTAATTTAAAATTGCGACTTTATTTAAATTGTATTCGTAAAACAAATAGATCACTGGTAAAATTCTTATTCTTATCGTTGTTTTGCTCTTTTGAATTTCCGCAGTTTTTTATTTTTTTTATTTTGAACAAAATTTTAAGAATATGTTTTTCAAGTCCCTATATGATTTCCTAGTTTGTTAAAATGTGGACAATTAAATAAAGAAATGTATTGGTTTATTTTTATTATTATTTATTAGATGAGAATAAAATCCCCTATAATTTGATGGATTTCAATACATTTTTATTGGGGTCACCCCAGCCCAAAGGAGTACTTTCCATTCTTGTACGCCAAAACAAAAGGTAGTATACGTAGAAGCAGCAGAAACATCTCTTTAAAAGTGATTAGAAAATGTGTTCTTCTTGCACTTAAAAGCAAAGTTTTTAATTTGATTATAAACGCTTTAATTAAGTTAGTTGTATTCGTAACACAAGCGGGCTACTGATTAAATGTTTATCCTCATCGTTGTTTTGCATTTCTGCAGTATTTCATAATTTTATATGGAACAATATTTCAAGAAATTCTTGTCAGAGTTCCTTTTTAATTTCCCAGTTTAATTAATTGTTAAAAATTCAATAAAGAAATGCATTTGTTTATTTTTTCATTATTTATTAGATGAATATAAAATTCACTGCATTTTTATTTGCGTCCTCCCAGTGCAAAGGAGTTTTTTCCACGGGCTACCGCCAAAATAAAAAGTAGTAGAAACTGCAGAGCCATCTTTATATGAGTGATTAAAAAATCTGTTCTGCTTGCACTTAAAAGCAAGGTTTTTAATTTGATTTTAACGTTTTAAATTGAAATTCGAACTTTATTTAAATTGTATTCGCATAACTAATGTGTTGCTGATTTAATTTGTGTAACTTTTTTTGAATTCTGAATGCATTTTGCCCGACATTTAGTAACTTGTTCCGAAAGCATTATAAACGCTTTAGTTTAAAATTGCGACTTCTTTTAAATTGTATTCGTAAAAGAAATGGGTTACTGATTAAATGTTTATCCTCACCGTTGTTTTGCACTTATAGACTTCTGCAGTATTTCAAAACCTATTATTTGGAACAACATTTCAAGAAATTCTTGTCAATGCTCCTTTTTGATTTCCCAGATTAATTAAAAGTAAACAATTAAATAAAATAAAATTGGTGAATTTTTTTTATTAATAAATAAAATAAAAAAAAATTGGTTAATTTTTATAATATTTATTAGATGAGAACAAAGTTCTATATGAACTGGATGGATTTCACTTCATTTGTATTAGGGTTATGGCAGTATAAAGGAGAACCGTGATGTGAGTGTCAAAATAAAAGGTAGTAGAAACTGCAGAGCCATCTTTTTAGGGGTGATTAAAAAAATCTGTTCTACGTTAAAAGCAAAATTTTTAATTTGATATTATCGTTTTAAATTGAAATTGCGACTTTACTTAAATATTCGTAAAACAAATGGATTACTGATTAAGTGTTTATCCTCATCGTTGTTTTGCACTTTCAAATTTCCGCAGTATTTCATAATTTTATTTGAAACAACTTTCCAAGAAATTCTTGTCAGAATTCCTTTTTAATTTCCCAGGTTAAATAATTGTGAACAATTCAATAAAAAAAATGCTTTTATTTATTTTTTAATTATTTATTGGATGAAAATGATATTCCCAATGAACTGAATGGATTGCACTCCATTTTTATTAGTCTTTTCCGAAGGAGAACTTTCCATAGTGGATTGCCAAAAGAAAAGGTAGTAGAAACTGTAGAGCCATCTTTATAAGAGTGATTAAAATATCTGTTTTGCTTGCATTTAAATACAAAGTTTTTAATTTGATTTTTAACGTTTTAAATTGAAATTCGAACTATTTAAGTTGTATTCGTATAACTAATGAGTTGATTTAATTTGTATATCCTTTTCTTTAGTTCTGTATGCATTTTACAAGACATTTAAAAAATTGTTCCGAAAGCATTATAAATGCTTTAATTTGAAATTGCGACTTGTTTTAAATTCGTAAAACAAATGGGTTTAAATGTTTATCCTCACCGTTGTATTGCACTTTTAGACCCCTTCAGTGTTTACATAATTTTATTTTGAACATTTGATTTCCCAGTTTAATTAAAAGTACGTGTATACCATCTTAAAGGGATATAGAAGTTGGGAATGGTTCGCATTCTATGAATAAAATATCGCCCAAAGAACTTAATTCAAGTGCCCACAAACCAATTACGAAACACGACCACTTCGAATTTAGTATACAAAATATTTACGAATTTTGCTTAGGTTTATAAAAAAAAAAAAAAAAATGATTAGAAACCAGAAACCTACGGCTATATTTTTTACTGAGAAAAATTGGGTAACTTATTGAGGTTATGGCTCAAAACTTTACTTTTAAAAAAGCAAAACTTCCTTAGAGTCTACGCTTTGTCCAATCTTTTAATTTAAATGTACTTTAATTACTTTATTATTTTTATTTTTTATTTTTTTTTGTTTTATACTTTCCTAAGGCCAACCCAAACCAAACGAAAAAACGAAAGTAATGCCATCCTTAGAGACATTAAAGTTAGTACTTTAGCATAATTCAGTAAATAAGAACTTGGAACACTATAGTCTGAAGTATTTCATTATTTCCTAAGAACAACATTTCAAGAAATTGTTGTCAAAGTTCCTTTTTTGTTTTCCCAGTTTACTTATTATATATAATTTAACTGTGGACAATTCAATAAAGAAATGCATTTGTTTATTTTTTCTTTATTTATTAGATGAGGATAAAATTCCTAATGAACTTAAAGGATTTCAAACCATTTTTATTAGGGCACTGGATTATTTTTTCATTATTTATTAGATGAGAACAAAATCCCCTATTAACTAAAGGAGTACTTTGTTTTCTTGTTCGCCAAAATAAAAGGTAGTACTATACGTAGAAGCTTCAGCAACAACATTTTGAAAGTGAATAGAAAATGTGTTTTTTGTGCCTTTATAAGCAAAGTTTTTAATTTGATTTTAAACGCTTAAATTTGAAATTGCGACTTTACTTAGGTTGTATTCGTATAACTAATAAGTGGCTGATTAAATTTGTAAAAACTTTTTTTTTGAATTCTGAATGCAATTTGTTCCGTGAAAAGATATTAAATGTTTTTTTTTAGTTGTTGTAAGGTGCATACTTATAATAGGAAACAGTATGACATTTTTATACATTTTTGTTTCTTCCAAATTGCTTTGCAATTTGTACACATTTTTATAAGTAGGTACAACATAAATGTATTTTTTAATACGGTTATGTTTATTAGATGAGAATAAAATCCCTCATAAATTTAAAAGATTGTAATTAATTTAAATTCTACTTTGATAGTATAAAGGAGAACTCTCCTTTTGATGTCGCCAAAATAAGAGGTAGTAGGAGCTGGAGAAACATCTTTGTAAAATTGATTAAAAAGTTGTTAACTTTTGCATTTTATAGTAAACTTTTTTACTTGATTATAAACGCTTTAAATTTGTATTGCAAGTGTATATAAGTTGTTTTCATCATACAGGCATGTTTCTCTTGAATTTCAGGTTCCGGATTATATATTTATTTAGATTGGTTACGCCTAGAATAAATACCTCGTCACGGGATACATATTAACAATTTTAGTTGTAAGTGTATAGAAAATAGGGTCAAGCTATAAACAAGTTTGTGATATCATAAATCATGTCCTTTAATTCATGCCTTCAATGACCCTGATGGGAAATTCGTTTTTGGGTTAAACAAATTTGGTCAAGTTCTTAGCCGGCAGCTCGTGATCAATATATTGATTTTAATTACCTGACCAGGTATCCGACAATGGGCTTAAGTTGGCTTCCATATGTCATTTAATTCAACTTTGATTTCCTCGAAGTCAGCACACGTGGGCGGCACTCATAAGTTATTAAGGACCATGTGGGTGGTACTTATTTTTGTTTCTATTTTTTGTCCTTTTGTGCAGTTTAATTTGGAGAATGTGTGAAGAGCTGCCACCGTCTGCTTAAGCATGAATCGCTATATAACGCTGACCCAATTGGGCGATGGAACCTATGGGACCGTTGTCTTGGGACAGCGAAAGGACACCGGCGAGAAGGTGGCCATCAAGCGCATGAAGCGCAAGTACTACTCCTGGGAAGAGGCCATGAATCTTCGGGAGGTTAAGGTGCGTCTACCTACAGTTCCTACAATTAAATCCTGTTCTATAATATGCAACTTAATGTTTCTACAGTCGCTGAAAAAACTTTCTCATCCGAACATTGTGAAACTGAAGGAGGTTATCCGGGAGAACGACACTCTGTACTTTGTGTTTGAGTACATGAAGGAGAACCTCTACCAGATGATTAAGGATCGGGACACACACCTTCCGGAGCCCGAACTGAAGAGCATTCTCTTCCAGGTAAGCTAAAATCTTTATCGAAGGAATTATAATATAAATTAATTATAAATGAGTGATTGATCTGACCCAAGTTTTAAATCACAAAATATCTATTTCTTTATCCAGGTTTTAACTGGTCTAGCCTTCATGCATCGCCATGGATTTTTCCACCGCGACCTGAAACCGGAGAACCTGCTCTGTTCCGGACCGGAACTTATCAAGATAGCTGACTTCGGTTTGGCCAGGGAGATCCGATCCCGGCCTCCGTTCACGGACTACGTATCCACGAGATGGTACCGCGCACCGGAGGTCCTTCTGCACTCCACCAACTACGGCAGCACCATCGACCTCTGGGCCATGGGCTGCATCATGGCAGAGCTCTACACCTTCCGCCCGCTCTTCCCGGGAAGCAGCGAGGTGGATCAGCTCTTCAAGATTTGCTCTGTGCTGGGAACACCAGAGAAGGTGAGATTTTATCTTGAATTTAAAATAATTTAAATGAAGATTAGTATAACCTTTAAGATTTTCAAACAATATATAAATAAATTCACAGATCAATTACATAATTGTAAGATTATGTTTATGCTTACCTATTTTATTTTTGACAGAATGACTGGCCAGATGGATATCGACTGGCGAGCATGATCCACTTCCGCTACCCGGACTGCATCAAAGTGCCACTGAGCAGCGTCGTCAGTCGCTGCAGCCAAAATGGACTGGACCTGCTGGAGGACCTGCTGGCCTACGATCCCGACAAGCGTCCCACAGCCCAGCAGAGTCTCAAGTATCCGTATTTCCACGCCCTCAAGCGAATCTCGCCCACGGCCGCCACCAAGGCGAATGTGCGACTCAGTTCCAAATACAATGCGGCAGCCAATGGCCATTCGGTTCAGAGTGTCTCCAACAATGTGCTTCCGGTGCAGGAGAAGCTGCAGGCGGTCACGGAGTTGCTCCACCAGAGCAACAACAACAACAATAGTATCCATAATCAAATATCCAATTTGGGCAAGAACAACAATTTGTCGGTTAAGAACGGTGGAATGCCAAGGAAGTACCAACCGAAGCTCAGCTTCCTGACCAGTCATGAAATGGGTGCAGGTTCACTGGCGGATTCTTCTAGCTTGGGAGGCGCCACAACGGATGGAGTCCAAGTGCCACAGCTGCAAAACGGCGGAGGAGGAGGAGCAGAATCCATCAATGACATCTACTTGAATCGCAACATAACGCAGCTCTTTGGTTTGCCAGCGGGGGCACAGCACCACCAGCAGGTGCACCACCCGAACGTGTCCTTCAGCACCACCACTTCCCGCAACGCTGGAGCGATCTATGTGAATGGGAGCCACCTCAGCTACGATACGGCCAACATGAATGCCAAGAACAATGCCACCAAGTTGGTGGTGGGTGCCGCCAATGGTGGCTACTACGTTCCGGTGGCCAGGCCATCGCTCCTCGGTCCCGAGGCCAAAGTGTACAACGTGTTCTCCAAGGTCAGTGCCAGCCAGGCTCCTCCGAGCCTCATCGTTCGCCAGCCACAAATGCAGCCGGACGGAGGACCACCGAACATGAGACTCTCGGGAAGATCTCGAGCTGCTGCCCAGGAATCCAGGACGGGTGCTCTCAAGTCCGACGATCTGGATCTGATACTCGGGTGAGCTTGTTATAGATAAATTACAAAAATTTAATTTGAAATTTACATACAATAAACAAATATTTTTATTTATTGTCTGTTAAAATTAAAGTTTAAAATACAGAACAGTCAAACCCAAGAAGTAATTAAATAACAAAATTCATTAAAATGTTTATACATATTTAATTACATTTTTGGATAAAAAATTCGATAAGAAAGTTACATTTTATTTCATTAAGTGCCAAGGAAAAAAGTGCTTTATTGGCGGTGTTAGTTCAATTAGTATAATTAGTTAATTTAAAAGTTACTCTGAGTGTCTGCACTCCTGGCACTTCACCTAGTTTTGTTTGCACCCCTGAATGAATCCTGCGCCACCTCACCATGTGTATCTCCGTATTTCCCCCGCCCAGCTCCAAGCTGAAAACCTCCGCGAAGCGTCAGCGAAATGCCAAGGCGAACATCCTGCTGGAGGACCTCTTTGGCCAGCTATCCATGGACTCGGACAGCGACGGGAAGTATCCGCACACGGTGCCGCCCACGCAGCAGGCGAAGAGCGGAAAGACGTCGACGGGAGGTCCTCGCGAAAGGGATCTCTTCGGGGAGAGCTTCCTGCCGAGACCGGGACTAAGGAAGAAGGCCACCCAGAGCAGCCTGGAGGTGAACAATGGCAGCCACGCGGATTCGCTGTAAGTGGGTGGTGGTGGGATGTCCTTTGGTGTTCTGTTTTCGTAAAGGACATCCTTGCTGGCCTGCATGCCCTGTAGACCTTGTCCCGTGCTTCCTTGCATCCTTGTACTCATCATGATCATTATACCCCGCATCCTGTTTCTCTCTACATTGTACTCTGTCTCTCTCTCTCTCTCTACTTTCTCCCATTTCTCCCCGTTTCTCTCTGTCTGTTTCTCGCTCGTTGTGTGTGTTTTCGTTTGCTTGTCGTTGAACATTGAACACTTTGTGTGGGTGACCCAAGTGATAACTCCTCCTCGTCCTCCCCCTCAATTGATGAAGAATGTCGCTTTTGGCCCATAAGGTAAAAACCAACATTCGGCATTGAGCTGTAAATATGTTTCCGTAGACATAGAGACTCTTGCCACACCATATCATATCATCATCGTATTCGGGGAAAGTATTTACCTAATGGTTATGCTTTCCCTTTGGTAGTAGAGCACTTTTTATTTGCCTGTCTCTTACAAAATGTATTCTAGAATAGATCTAACATTGGTGTACCATTATTACAAATGTTATTTTTTTCTGTACTTAACACAACTCTATGTAGTTACAACAGTAACTTCAGGATTACTTTACTTTTTTTTCCTAAATTATAAACCTATTGTAGTTCAAATGCTAACGATTTATTTAATATACTAATTATTTATTTTCTTATGATATTAAAGTTTTTAAATGTAAAATGAATAACCCACTTTTTCCAGAGCTCAAAACACGCAAAAGGAAAAACCCGTGGTGGCAGCCAATTTCCCTTGGGATGAGACCAACAAGACGGAGGATGAGAAGCTGACCGCTTGGATGGTGGCCGAGAACGGTAACTTGGTTTTGGGTAGTCATCAACAAGCGTAGAAATCGAGAGCACACCACTCCAATCCACTAAAATGTAGTTACTTAGAATTCACCCAATTGGAACTTGCAAATGGTAGTGTAAATTCAAAGGCACCGCTTTCAAATCAGGGATTGTTATTTTAATTTTCCACTATATCGTTTTCCCAGGATCGCTGCTGGAGAATAAGTTCTGAGGAGATCGACTTGCGAAATGCCGTTGTACCTGAAACTGAATGGAATGAATTCAAGTGCCTGTTGATCTGCATATTTTCGAACTGAATCCGAATCAAAATCCAAATCACCAAGCCATGGAGCCATGGGAATCGTTGGATCGGCGTGTAGAGTTAGTCTAGTTTCGATATAATGTTTTATTGCTGTGATACAATTAAGCTAAACTATTGTGTAAAGTAGCCTACGAACTTGAGCCTCGAGTGTAAGTTGTACTCTAAGCTACCTATACGATAATATATAATCCGAGTGAGTTTTGAATCGATTGCAAGAGTTGGCGGCAAGTGCAGGGATTTGGTTTCATTTCCCCCATGGGCAAGATACTCGTATATGGGTTGCATAAGGTTTGATCGCAGTGCGGCGTATTTGATTTCATCTGGCAAAAGTTGGCCACTGCGACAATGGGCCAAACTTCGTCATATAAAAGAGGCCTCATTTCAGCTCTTAGTCATTAGTCGAGTGTGGTCTGTCGCTCCAATTACAGCTCAAACTTCTTCGCAATGAATTTGTTGGTAAGTGGTTGTATTCCACTAACAAAACCTAGTAAATACTCTACATTTTATTTTAGCTTTCCAGCATATCCTTCTTTCTGATCCTGAGCTCCTTGTTCGCTGTTCAGGCTGGAATTATTAACAGCCATGTCGATGAACTGATTGCCAGTCCTGCCCAGTATGAGTTCCATTACTCTGTTCATGATAGTCACACTGGCGATGTGAAGGATCAATTCGAGCACCGACGCGGCGAATACGTAACAGGTCGCTATTCCCTCATCGAACCCGATGGTCATCGTCGGGTTGTGGACTACACCGCCGATCCGCTGCTGGGTTTCAATGCCCAGGTTCGTCGGGAACCGATTTCTCGCTATTAAAATGAGTTTCCGAAACAAAGGATACTACCAGCTGACCAGATTTACGATTTGGCTACCTTGTTTTCAAGCAACCATGTTTTCAATTAATAAATCTAGAGGCTGTTCATTTTAACATTCAGTGGTATATTGATCTATAATGCTCGTTTTACTTTTAACAAAAATGGGAAAAAATATAAAATTATGGTGTTTGTACACTATTTTTGGGCCAAACGCATTTTGTAGGACCAGGCGAACAGCATGCAATAGTACATAGGTGCACACCCTTTTTTTTAAGATTTTCCAATTGTTTCCAAAAGTATACCACCCATTTTAAAGGAAAATTTACACAGTCAAAAACGCCAACTAATGCATTCTGTTGACCTGTTATTTTAAATCTAATTGTTACAAATTTTCTCGTTGAAATTGTTTGGTCAAGCCATTTGCAGCAGGCCTTCTGGCTGCCATATATCAATATCTGCCTTATATATATATATCAATAGTTAATTTTATATTTTTGGTTGATTTTTTTTTCAATATTTCTTATACAGCCCCTTTCGATATTTCCAAAAATTTCCCTTTCTTGTTTTTCTTTGTAGAATATTCTTATTCTTGAAACTTGAAACTCAAATACAATCTCATTTGTAAAAATGTCAGCTTTTCCAAAGGTTATCCTCTAATATTCCCAAAACATTAATTAAGTAGCACTTGAAAGATCATGAGTATGTTTTCTAAAAATGCATTTATTGCCTTCTATTTACACATAGTATAACATAGATGAGATAGATGGCCCACAGCCATCGAGTTATGGCGATTTCGATGGCTGGAAGCCGAAGAGTCTTAGTGGAGATAAAAAGAATAGAATAGATATTGGAAGGTAAAGAGATATGATACGAGGTGTTTGGGCAGTTAAGCAAAAGTTCAGATACAGATACAGATGCGGATGGGTCGTCGTCGATGCGATGAAGTCAGTGTTTGCTATCTCTCTCGATCAATCCTTTCCAGAAGTTAGTGATAAATGCCGAGGGGCAGTTTGGCGGGTGCGAGGAGCTTGGGGGCCGCGTAGGCCAACGGCAAGGGTGCGGGGGCCAGGAGCTTGGCAATGGGCGCGGCCTTGATCACCTTCTGGCCCAGAGGATCGCGACGCACCACCGCGTTGAATCCGTTGTGGGCATCCGAGGTGTAGTCCACGGTGCGCAGATATCCGTCGGCATCGACCAGTGTGTACTGACCCTGGACCTGGTCGCCCTTCCTGGACTCCGTCTGGCTCTTGATGTCACCGGTGTGCTCATCGTGCACCGAGTAGGCGAAGTCGTAATGGGCAGGCGCCTCCACCTCGATGGTCTTCAGCAGGGGCTTCACAATCGCCGCGGGAGAGTGGTAGACAGGACTGAGCGGGAGTTCGATGGCGGCGGCGGCTCCAACACCCAGGATAAAAAGAGAAACGAGCTGAAAAATATACATTCAAAGTTACATGAGGTTAAAATTTAATTGTAATTTAATTTAAAAAGGTACCCAAAAACCGGATAATTACAAAAGGTTTTATTAATAAAGAGAATTATAAAATAAAACTGGATCTTTTGAATATTTCAATTTACAAATACTTTCAAATAGTTTTTTATTAAGTCAATTTGTTTAGAAATTTTTTTAAAGAATAAAACAATAGCAAAATTTTTAAACTTGCTTCCTTTTTTTTTCAAGAAAATTTTTTTTTTTAATTTAAAGTTTTAGTTTTAACCAATAAGAAGAACTTTAAAGTTAATATCCTTTAGACTTACAGCGAACATTTTGGCTTAGGCTTGGCTTGGGATTTGGTGGATCGGCTGACTTGGTAACTGCTGCGGCTCCTGCACTGAACTATGTCTCCAAGTGTCGCGATCGCAACTTTTATAGTCAAAGCTGTGGTCTCTGGCCCACCACCACCACCTCGAGCTCTTGATGGGTGCCACGTTCCAAGCACACGCACCTCACACTCCATAACCCACACCAAAAAATCACCACACTCCCCAAAAAACCGACCCAACGAACCGGAATCCAGCTAATGCAAAATTGTTATTATATTTGTATTTCATTTTTTGGCAAATCTGGAGCTCGAGTAATAAAACATATACACTGCTCCACTTTGGTGAACAATATAGCCGCGGTAAGCTCTTGTCACTGGATTGTCGATCGATTCCTATTCAAAGTCAAGTGAAAGTTAAGGGTGAGATTAACATTGAGCAACAAAACTATTTATTTACTGCAATTATTTTGATAATTGTTTCACGATATTTGTTTTATTAATAGCCGACACTTATAATAATATTTGCATTAAAAATATAGAGTATGATAATGTTCCCCAGAACATTTTAATGTCAGGGCGGTAAAACGCAGTGCTCAAAATTGTAAGTGGAATAACTCTAGAGTTACTGTTTAAGTCCGCTGAACCTGAAGTTTTAGTATCGTTTAAGTTTTAATTGTTGGGCCCAACATCCCAAAATGGGATTATATACTAATCCCATACATATGTTATTTATAATTTTTATATGGTGAAATATTAATTTGTTATAGAACGAAAGGTATAAATAATCTTGACCTGAAACTTTAATCATACATTTCTTGGCGGTTACTTTTTTAAATCCTCGAAATACAGTTCTTAAAAATCTTTTCAATCAAAAGTAGCCCAAATTAAACCCGAGACAGATTGGCTGACATATTGAATGGTTAAATGGTTTCAGGAGAAGGGGCATATCGCAGTCACATCAAACAAATTGCACGTTGACATTCGCAGATCGCTCGAACGGCAAAAATCGCGAAATGCCGCTAAGAGCTTTGTCGATTTTCCGCTTAATTAATTAATCAAATTGCAACATCCGCCCGTGTGCCGCCCAAGATCGCTGCACTGGCTCTGGATACCGATCTCGATCTGGATCTGGGTCTGGGCTGGTCAGGTGGCCTTTCACGCACATGCTCCGCACACAAATCAGTGCGACAAAGGCTGGCACCGTGAAACTCCTCGCCCCAAACTCGTTGCCGAATTCGATATGAAGTAATAAGCTGGTCAAGTGGGATGGGGGTCAGTTGGAGTTGGATGGAGCGAGCCACTCCGCACCACATGGTGGTGCGTATGCGTATTCGTATTCGAATCTTGCGCCACATGCATTTAGAACCGAACCACATTACGATTGCGGTGCAAAGTGGTTTGACTGTGACTCTGAGTGGTCGCCGACCAATTGGGCATCGCCGCCGCCTCCGCCTGCTCACGCACTTGGACAGATCGCCGGTTACTCCGGTCCTCCTCCCTTCCTTCCTTCTGATACCAGGCTCCATTTCCATATCCACTTACACAGCACCGCGCGGGCGTGCCGGCTGTCGTTCGCTGTCCAACGTCGCCCAACCCAATCAGCCAACAAGACATATAAATTGAAGTAGTCTCTATAAATAATAAGTTGTGTCTACTTAGCGACATGTACACTTGCGTAGATCGTGTCCGATAAAAAAGTCTAGATCGAGGGAGTGCGCTCGGCAGGAGCCAGAAGTGCACGTTTGTTTTGCCAATTCTGTCAAATATGCTAAGCGAATGGGCTTTAATTCTTCGCCACTTTGCACTTTGGGTAACTGGAAAACATGATTTTAAAATGAGAAATGAATTAACAATCATTATTGCGAATCGTTACAATCGTAGTAAAGTATATGTACATTTTTAGAGCACCCCAAATACAAACTCATCCTTTGGCATTTCTAAAGATTTTATTATCGATTTCAGTTGCATTATATGTTTTCTTGAAATATCAAAAAATTGCAAATAGATTACATATGTATTTCACTGACATCGGTTTTTGGTTTTTCGTAAATTTTTCAGCTGTGTCAACAGTACGACGCACTACACATAATCATTTGTCTCACATATGAATTGTTTATGTAGAAAAGGTTAAGTAAATCGCTAGCGTATTGTACTATATAGAGCCGTATATGTTCAATAATTGGCAATTTTGAAAACGGTGAATCTATTGGCCTCGCTTTGCCTGCCCCGAACACCATTGGCTCGTCCTTAAAATAATAAAATAATATATAGAACACAATGACAACAATCAAAACGAGTGGACGATCTTTGGCGCAGGCAAAAAGCCACTGAGGTAAAAAAAAAAGCAAAAGCTGTTAACAAGAAAAGGTGCCACGGTCACCACACAGACGCATTCGCCTCTCATAATGCTCCCGGTTTGAGGGAGAACGAAAGCTTGGGCCTGGAATTGTTTTTGCCTAGTATGACCTTCTGTTCTTCCTTAACGCGCTTCTCCTGCTCCTTGCGCATCCTTTGCCGCTCTTCGTCCATAAGGCGCTGCTCTTCAATGATTGCTAACCGTTCTTCGGCCTGAAAAAAATATAGAGATAACTTATTAAAACCACTTTAAGAAACAATAATTCTAGTTTACTTACCAGTTTTCTTTGCGCCTCTTCGATTTTGCGATTGTTTTCGGCCAAAATTTCTTCGAGCTCTTCGCGTTTCTGTTTTTCATCCTCCTATAAAACCCAAACAAAAGGGCGATTAACAAAACAACATCGACCGCTTGACCGGAAGCTTAGATCTAGGATTTAAATAAACAGTCTCTTGACATCAGCGATGCAAACTGTGCGACGAATTCGACGCACGTTTGTGGTTGCAGTTTTTTGCTTGATGAGCTGCAAAGGCAGTTAGAATCTAGTTTTATGTTTAACAATAAGTTACAAAGAATATATCGGTAGAAAGTAAAACATTTAGTAGTGTCTAATAAGAATGTTTAAAGTAGGTTGTTCTTTTAGATTATTACAATAAAGGAGCACACAACATAAACAAATGTACTAGTATTTGCTAAATGGTTGGTCTTCACTTAATTTTTTTTTGTTTTGTTTTTTTATTGTTGCTACTTACTATTTAAATAGGTCATTATTCCAGTACAAAGGCTAAATTTGTGTTAATTTATAGGTTTTTTTTTGCAGATTTTCGATTTGGGATTATATGTTTTGTGGAGTTTTTTGCTATTCCAGACGTACGTAATTTGCTCGAAAAAACAAAAAGCTCAAACACAAATAATTGGCAATCGGTACGGTCAAGAAATCCAATGCGAATCCGGTTTTAAAAATCGTACAGACAGAGATTCTATATAGAGCTAAACACTTGGGGGGTGAGTCTTTTTGGTCTCGTTTGGCGTCCTTTCGCCGATCACAAGTAAAGCGGGCTGTCGCGCCTGTTATCCTTACGGCTGCTGGATTTTCACATCGCTGGCGTAGGAAACTCACCCGTCGTTTATTGGCAGCATACGTTGGGACTAAACTCAGTCGGCCCGCCCCACAACTAGACATCCTAACTACCCGAACTAACTTGGGGCCACCACTTCGATTATTTTGTTTTTTTTTTTTTTGTTTTGTTTTGGATGTGAAGGAAATGCGTCCGTGGACCAAACGTTTGGCAGCAGGCTTGCTCAACTTCCGGCTTGGCGGCTCAACGTGGAGTGCACGCGAGTGTTTAGCGCGGTCGGTGCGTCAAACACCCACTTGCATAGGGGACAAGAGAGCAGCACGTTCGTTGCACGGGCCTACTAAAGCGGAGGTTTTTTTTTTGCGCGCAATAACAACGGTAACAACAACGAGTTACAAGAACCAATACCAAAATCAAAATGATACAGTATGTGGGTAGGAACAAACAAAAGATGAAGCTAAGAATAGTATGCAAAGAGGTCTGCAATAAATGGGCATCAAAACTGTGACACATGCGACACTTGGCAATGTCGTCATTTTGGCTTTTTTGGTAGGAAAAATAAAAATTACAAAATTATTGGCAAGAAGAAAAGGGGGTTTTGGCGAAACCAGCCGTGGCGTTCTCATCCCGACTCACTGGGTTGCTTGGTTGATTGGTTGGCTGGCTGGCATGTAGGGGCTCTGAAAACGGGTGACTGGTTAGTGATGTAGCCGGTTGTTAGTGGGCGCCCATGGCCCAAGGTTATGCAAGCAATCTATTAGGGGGATGCTGGTGGAACATGGATCGATAGACGGATGTACACCCAGTGAGCCGCGGCTGAGAGCGCCGCCGGATCGATTTCGCGTGACGTGGTGGAGACGACTGTTTGATCTGCTGTTTCTTTTTTTGGTTTGTTCAAGTGTACGGTAGATGTGGCATTGTGTACGTTTTTCTGACAGTGATAGCAGCAGTCGTCCAGCGGAATCTGAATACGAGCACCTACCTCGCGCCGGCGTTCTTCTTCGCGTATCTGCTCGCGCCGCCGCTCCAGCTCTAGCATCATCTCGCGCTCCATCTCGGCCTTGGCGGTCTCGACGCGTCGGTTGACCTCCTGCTCGATCTCGTCGCGCCGCTTCTCCAGTTCCTCTTCGACGCGCTTCTTCACCAACATCTCGATACGCTTGGCAGCCTCCTCTTCGACTGTCTTCTGCTCGGCCTCCTTCGCTCGCCGCTGCCGCTCCATCTCGGCCAAGCGTTCGACCTGCAGCTGGTTTTGCTGTAAAGAATTGGAAGCGTTTAGTCATAAATGGATTAAGAGCCATGCATGGATTAATTAATACGTTTGCAAAACCCTGAACATCTCCAACCAAATAATAAACAATCATAAATTATGTTTTTAAATTGCTCATGATTTGCTGTAACAAAGTTTTAGTACAAGCTGTTTTATAGCAGAAACCAAGTACATAAGTGGTCGAAATAATTTAAATGTATTTATAGTCCTTTGAAAGGTTATTTAGTTAGAGTTATTATCAACCCTTTATTCAAATTTATTCAAATGGTTTGATTCTCATTATGTATGTACATATGTAGACATTGAAACCGAATTTGGTTCTCCAAACTTTAATTTGACCTCTCCATGCAGGACTCGGGTGATCCAATGTGGACTAGAAACTCACCTCATCCAGCTTCTTGAAGCGGCTGCGTTTCTGTTTGCTACGCTGCGACTCTTGCTCGGAATATTGACTATCGCTACTCGACGAGGACGAGCGCTTCCGGGACTTGAGGATAGAGGGAGAGTGACGGTAATCGCGCTCCGTGTGGCGGTCGCTGCGGTGTCGGTCGCGCTCCCGCTCGCGATCCCTGTCCCGCTCGCGATGGCGGCCATGGCTGTTCACCTCCGAGGATTTGTCTCTATCCGTTCGCGTACTGGGCCGCTCGTGGTCGTGGTGGGACTTACTGCGTTTTTTGTGCTTGCTCTTGTGATGGCGCCGCTTGCCCGACGGACTAGGAGTGCGGGACCTCGAACCCATTACGCTGGCTTGTGTGTTTTGTTTAGTTTTAGGTTTCGCCGAGAGCTCAAATCTTTGGCCACAACAAAAATCAATGGAAGCGACGTACAAAATTTGAGCAGTTTTCACAGTAGAGATGGCATAACATCGAAAGATATCAAAATATCGATGTTCTAAAGTTATCGATTTTTCCAAGTAAAAAACTACAGGTAATTAAAGAACAATTTGAAAGACTTAAAACGTAATTGTTTTGTTTTGGAATACAAATTTATTTATTTGGAGTCGGAATCAAATTATTCTTGAACATTACTAAAGGGTTTGGTATTTATTTATGTACATTTCAGTGTTGCGCAACGAAGCAACGCTTTTATTTTGGTATTTTAAGTTCCCTACTGTTTGTTTTGAATCATGTCATGGAACCGGTCGATCATATCTTGGTTGTCCTTGAAGCCCACGCACTCCTTGGCCGCATCTTTGGGCAACCACTTAAGGTCGGTGTGCTCTTCGGAAAGAATGGGTTCCTGACAGGGGTTCCGCAGCTCCGCTAGCCAGTAGATAACAATCTTGGGCTTTCCCTGCACTTCGTAGTTAAGAGTCAGAGGTGTGTCCTTGTATATTATCAAATCCTTTTCGTCGTATCTGTGAATGCACTTTAGAAATTAAAGCAGTCCTGAAATGAAAATGGTTAAGCACTTACCCGGCTTCCTCTTTCGTTTCCCGCAGAGCTGTGGTAAAGTCATCCTCTCCGGGATCCACATGTCCTTTTGGGGAACTCCAGTGAAAGGAACCGTAGGAAGCCTTAAGCAAAAGGTATTGTATTTCTCCGCAAAGACGGCGAAAAATAACAAAGCCCGCCGCTTTTTTCATGTCTGCTATTATTTCTCCGAAACAGGTGTTTAACAGTGCTGGAAAATAGTTAATAACAGTGCAACTAATGTAGCCTTTTGCCGACAGCTTAGTAGATAAATTCCGAAATCTTAACAAAACTAATCCCTATGTTTAATTGTTTTTAAAGAAATTACAAAAATCTTAAAATTGTATCCATTCTTATAAATTTCAGATTTGTTCCCCCAGCTTTTTGGACTTTTTTGATACTTATTAACACTGCAGCTTACAAGGGAAATTTGAGAGTGCTGGTAAACGACAGCGGCTCTAACGAATGTTTGCGATCCGAATGTGCACGTTGTTTTGTAAAATCATTACATAAATACCTAAGAAGTGCATCCAAGATGTACGCCCTGCTCCGCCGCTTTTCCGGGGCCACCCACGTGAGCAGTTCTCTCAGATGCTACGCTTCCTTTACGCCAAAGGACGTTATGCGAACTACCGCCGAGGAGACCGGCACCCTGATCACTCGCTTCGCCAAGCATATTGCGCTGGAACGGCACAGGGATCGGGACCATGTGCTGCCCAAAACAACGGTTCGATACTCCGACTTCTTCCCCATCACGGACGACCGTTACTTCCAGCGATCCGTGCAGAAAACGGATCCAGCCCAATTGCCCGCACTAATCATTCAAGCCTCCAGTTATCGTTCAAATGCGGCAGTGCCCATGTATGTGGCTGCCGTTAACGCTTTGGATAACCATGCGGCCAGCCAGTTGACCAAGATGGACACCAGCACTGTGCTAGAGACCTTGTACTCCTTTTTGTTTCTGGTTCCCAGCTGGATAAAGCGGACAGACTTCTATCAGGCAGCCATGCAACGATTGACCAAAGAGGATTTTCGAGACAACAAGGAGCGGTTTGTGCAGGTGTGCTTCTATCTGGGACTGCAGAAGCAGCAGGCGAAATCATCGCAGGATTTCCAGCAGCTGCTCGAGGAACAGTTACCCACTCACTTGTCTGCTTTAAGTGAACTGGATCTTGCTGTGGTCAGCAACGCAGCGTACAAAACTTCCACATTGGTTACGGGAGAGACGAGAAGTGCTTATGAATCATCCCTAGTCAATGCCATACTGAATATACAGCTCACAACCGAAAGCACCGCATTGTTGGTGTCTTTTGTCAAGGCTTTGCGGTTGCAGAGAGTAAAGGACGAGCGAGTCTGCCAGCATTTACAGAGCATCTGCCTGGATCCTGCTAAAATAGGCCTGCTCGAACCCCGAGGATTAGCCCACATTTTCGCACTCTTTGCTGAGCAACTTTGGGACCAAAAAGACTGCCTGGATATCATTGTAGATCGGCTAATGACTCTCCTTAAACCCGGAGAATTACGCGCCAAGGATTTAGCCACATTTTTGTGGGCCAGCGCCCAACTCAATTGCGAATTAACTCCACAGCAAGTCAGGCAACTCGAGCTGGCTGCTCTGCGAAAATTGGACCACGGCGAGTATAATTATTTCCCGGACAACCTTGTGGACACCTGCCTTTCTCTCTGCACTTTGGGCCATTACTCAAAGGATCTGATAGATGCCGCCGAAGAACTTAAGGCGGCTCAACGCCGTCAGCGAGCTCAGCCTAAAGTGGATAGTCGTTTGAATGTTCTTCGATCCGCTGTAGCCGTCGAGCAGCCATCAATAGCTAATCTGAAGAAGGAACAGGCATTTAAGGAGTTCGATCGTGCACCTGCGTACTTGCTGAGGGATCGTCCAGACCTGGCAAAATATGCTCAGGAGCTAAGTGAAGACCCAGAAGTTGAAGGTGTGGATCTGGTGTGTCCCATTGCTGGAATCAATTTGCCAAGCTTGCGAGTGCAAACAATGGGCGATAAGGAGAGTGTGTACTTTGTAGAGCTGCTCACCGAAGGACAGACCCTAAAATTCAGCAAGAAACCCACTTCTCTGTTGCGACTTAAGAAGAGGCTGCTGGAATCCCTTGGCCAAAAAGTAGTAGTGGTAAGCCCTTTCTTATAATTCAAATTGCAAACTGAACCTATTGCAAAGACTGCTTTCAGCTGAACTCTACAGAAATGGCCACCAATGCAAAAGAACTGCACCGACTTCTTAAACCATCATCAAATAGCAGAGAAGAGCCCGAAGTTGCCCAAGGCCTGAGCAACTGAATCGTGTGATATAGGCTAGTTACAAATCGTAGCTTTATTTAACAGTGTTTTATGTACTTGTACATATTATTTAAATATTAATAGCACTAAACATAATGTTCAACAATTAATATATAATACAAGGAATGGGCTAAAGCTGTGTCTTTTCCATACAAAACTTATCGAATCGACTTGATCTTGGCCTTGAGCACGATATAGGACACCAGTCGGAAAATAATAATCATGGCTACCAACGCTGTGACGTCGTTCCAGAACTGATCACCCCTCATCGTAATTTCCTCTAGGAATTTCTTAGGATACCTGTAAAAAACAAACACTTGTCAAATTAAGAGAACTGTAAGAGTGGAGAAATATTTACCTGTAATGGCAGTAAGGCGCCTCCTCGCAGGCCAAAACTCCCCGATCCAGGCCATAGATGGCTGATATAAAGCCCTCTAGCCCGTATCTTAAGTATGATATGTGACTGCCCCATCTTAAGTAGCTTGGCAGATCCCGCAGAGTCACACCAAAGCCGGCGAACATCATCATGGGAATGGTTAGCACTGGGGCCAGGAAAGTTCCGTTTACGACATCGAACCAGGCACCAATCATCAAACCAAAACTATGGCCAACGAACACTGTCAGCAAACTGATGGCAAAGAACATGAAGAAGCGTATCCACTCCATGGGCTGATAACTCCATAAGTAAACTATGACAGTGAAGAGGAAGCAACTAATGATCTGTAAAGGAAAAGCGTAAGTTTAAGAACGCAATCTAAATTATATAGAAAGGATGCTCACAGATATTGGCAGGTCCACAAGAGTCATAGCAGTGTAGTAGGCTTTGAGCGAATACCAGCGATTAAAGTGTTCCTTAATCAATATAGAGATATCCATGGGGACTGTTTAAAAGTAATATGAATAAATAAAAGCTCCAGCCAAATAAACCAATCTTGACTTACAAGTCAGAACAGTCAACATCATTGTGGTCATGGAATGGTGCATCAGGATGGCAAACAGCAGATTGTAGTTGTCCAGCACTCGAGATCCCTCGCGTCCCGTGTGATCGTACATGGCACCGAAAAGAGCTGCCACCGCAATGTTGACCCCGATCCTCAAGTGCGTCATGGTCGTGTCTCGTTTGGCTTTCAGGAAACCTCTTCGCAACAGCACCGAACACTGGTTCGAGTAGCTAGTGTCCTCCAGCGAGCGGGCTTTGGTTCTCTTGGGAATGGGATACTTCCTCATCAGAACCTCAGAGCGCAAAACCGCACTAGGATTATCGAACCAAGTCAGGCAGCTTCCGTTCTCAGTGGCTACTTTAAGGGTGTCCACCTTGTCGAAACCATATTCCCCGCAGGCCAGTTCGATTACTACAAGATAAAGGATTTGATTAGTGTTGTAGAATAAGGTATTTTAGCTGAACTCACTGTAATCCGCTGGATTGTGGTACATGGGACAGGGTAGATCCACCGTCTGCAGGAAGGGCACCAATTTCTGGGTGCTTCCCTGGTAGACGCAATTGCCAGCTGACAGTACGTAAACCTGATCGAAGATCTGGAACAACTTGGCCGTGGGCTGATGGATTGTGCAGATAATAGTGCGACCTTGGCTGGTCAATCGCTTGAGCAGCTCCAGGACCTTTGTGCAGGAGCTACTGTCCAAGCCACTGGAAAAGAGAAGGTTTATCAATAACTTCCTAAACTATTGAATATAAAATTTTTTGGGTCTTACGTTGTTGGCTCGTCCAGGAACATCACAGTGGGATTGTTGATCAACTCCATGGCAATGGATAGCCTCTTCTTCTGACCACCGGACAGGCGCATTGTGAGGGTCTGATCGTGATTGTAGAGACCAAGGAGCAGCAGGATATCCTCAATCTGTTAGGGGAATTATAGGATTAATGAAACGGATGAAAAACTGGTGATCTCTTTTGGACTTACCCTGCTCTCCTTCTCCTCGTAGCTGACTGTCTGACCCAGTTTAAGATCTGCGGCTATATGCATATTCTCGTTCACCGTCAGCAAAGGCTGCAGGCGATCATCCTGAGTAATATAGCAGGACATGCGACGGAAGGAGGCTGCAAAGGGATATTCATTAAACTAATTACATATAACATTCATCGATTTATATGTACTTACGCAAATCACGTCGTCGACCATTGAGCAAGATGGAGCCATCCACTCCAGTCGTTTTGAAACCGGATAAGGCATCCAGCAGAGTGGATTTGCCCGCACCCGAAGGTCCCATAATTGCGATGAGCTGGCTGCCGGGAAACTTTCCGCAAACATTGTGCAATATTTCCTTGGATCCTAAAAAAGTTCGAAATTACTTAATGAACGATCATCAACACTTAGTAGATGTTTCGCTGGTTTTTATACGGTCATTGCTATCGAGGTTCAGGGAACCAGTAGAGAAATATTTAATTCGAAAATATACACGTGCAGTAAACCATGATTTTCATGAATCAAGTGCTGGATATAAACTTACTCAATTAAACGTCTAGTTAGTCCCGATAAAAAGTAACCCTAAGCTGCATTCCATAAAAGTAGAATTACTTTTAAATTCGTGATTAACAAACAAGAAAGGTAAAAAATTTGGTCGTTATTTGTTTTGGGAAGTCAGATTTAAATACGTGCATTTGATATAGTTTTTTTCAGATTATGCGAATACTAGGGAATAAGCCTTTATTCCCTTTAAAACATTTTAATAATAATGGCATGAATTCAATCTACAAAGGCGTTGACCACACATATTATCTTTATTTTAGTATAATTACCGCCACGGGGCGAAAAGTTGTTGGTCATCAGCTTGTTTCCTAATCAAGTTACCATGGTCGATATCAATTGCTGTTGACTTCCTTTTGAACTTTGAAATTAGCAAGAAACGCCTTGTTAAATAGCCTTTCAGCGAATTTCAAACACCCTTTATATTTCCATATGGAGACTTCCCCATTTTTATGGTATTGACTCTTTAGAAAGGGAATTTATTAATGACTAACTGGCCATGATAGGCACCCACCACCGAAATATATACAACCGGGAAGGAGGTGTGATCGGAGTGATCGCCGCTTATCTAATCAATGGGAAACCAGGTTGGTTAAAGAACTAGCAAGCAAGTGTTTATTGCTGATTGGTATGTGAAGCATTACCGAAACCAATAACCTTGAAGAATGTGTTTATATATAAAGTTTTAGATACTCCAAAATTCGTAAAGCTAAATAATTTATAACAATCAAAGAAAAAGCTGCTCGAACTTGTTACAACTATTTTTACAAAATTTAATTTAGAAAACTTGTTTTCAAAAAAAATAATTTTATCTGAAGGTTACCTGTATTTGTAGGATATAAATTGTTTAAGGTCCACACAAAAGGTAGCCGCTGATCGTAAAACGAATAAAAACCGAATATGGTTATAACTCCAGCTAATTTTAAGTTTTCCCCTGCCAATCTTATCGAGCCATATCTTAGATCGAACGATCGTGAATGGCGACTTACCCCGATTAAAACCCAATTTGACGGTGAGGGACAGCTCCTTGAACTCCATGTCCACGGGCTCCCTGGCTGGCAGGTTGTGCAGGGCATCCGTGTCGAAGTGGACCTCCTCCTCGACCACGGGCTCCAATGGCGGTTGTTTGCTGGCTGTTGCGGACGATCCATTGCTGTAGGCCACCTGAGGGGGAGTGGGAACTGGTGGGGGAACGACACTGGACTGGGCATTTCGCCATCCTCCGTTGGTGCTCACTGGCACTGTGGTCGTGTTGTAGACCCGGCTGGAGTTCACCTCCCCGACCTCGATGCCCAGACCGAGTCCAGCGACTCCGTTGTCGCTGCCGAATAAGAACTGCTCCCGCGATGTCGCCATTCTGGGATTCTAGGGATAACCTATCAACTAAAAAAATGAGTGCATTTTGATTTAATTAAAAAATTAATATAATTGCTTTTGAACTAATACTACCATTTGTATCCTTTTTATCAGTAACCTCTTATTACTTATTAAAATACAAATAGATGGTCATATTTGCAAAGGTTTAAAACGGTTGCTTATTTAACTAGTTATCATAAAACTTTTATATTTATTACCTTGTTATTGATTAATTTTATGGCTTTAACTTTTAGTTATTTTCTAACCAACAAGTTTAAATGACTTTCACTAGTCTTTCAATATTTATACCCTTACAGAGGGTTTTATCAATGTTTTAATATCCTCCTGTTTACCCCATAAAATACAAGAAGTGATAGATGTTGCTTTGCTGCAATTGTTGTCTGCAATTTGATTGATTTGGTTGATGATGCAAGGTGCGTGACTAAATCTTGGAATCCTATGTGCAACCTGTTGCTGGCCATTTGGAAATGCTTTCTGGTTTTCCCATTAAAACGGGTTTCGACTGCAGCTCAAATCACTCATTGATGACAATCGACCTTTGTCATCTAACCCCATCACTCGGATTGGTAATTCCCTATCTCAAGCTAAGGTTGTTTATTTATAGCGCTCGAAAAGCTAATCCAGTGGGATCATTGAAACGCAGTCGATTGTAACCCCCCAGATTGACCGAAGAGCCGTCAAATTGGATGGGTGATGAAACAAAACACATTTCAATTATCTGCAACAGTCCCCATTAAAGGCGAGTTTACATAAGCGAAATGTAGCACGCAGTTTACTCCACATTTCGCACTGCTGCAAGAGACAATTAACTGCGGGTACACTTAATGCACAGATTTGCGAAAAGATCAAGGTACAGCCGTTGAGTTGGAGGCGGGCAAACAATAAAACGCCACAATTGAGTGGAAATAAAAGTGCAATCATGAATGTTGTCGTATTCGCAATTCGCATCTGCTATTGATCCGCCGATCCCAACCGATCCGATCCGATCCGAGCAGATCAAAACAAAAGCATTGTCCCCATGCGGAGAATTCACAATAAATGGAATCGCTGGTGACGATGCTATAGGTATATGCATAGATGGATCGCTTATAGAATATCAAAGCTAGATTGATTTAATATTTTATAGAATTTAAATCTATTAGCATGTTAGCAATCAACATATAGGAAATATATCATTGATTTAAATTAGCTTTAGAATATTAAAGTTAAATTGGATAAACATTTGTAGAACTTTGTACATTATAAAGTTATTTCATTATTAAATACTTTTTTGTTAAGTTATTAAGAGTTATTAAATATCAATTTAAAAGGTTTTTTGAATCATTTCCTTTAAATTTATTATTAGGTACTTCTACAAAACGATGGATTTATATTTTTGTAACATACAAGTCAAAACTTATAAATGATTAAATTAAAAATTCGTAAGTAAATTTTTTGGAATTAATTATAAAACATTTCTTTTACTAAATGCAATCAAAACAAAAGCGATGTCGTAACTGTGACGAATTGTCTATATAATATAGACGCTGTTCCTTATCGCAATCTGGGCAAATTCCTTGGTTAATCTGGGACATTTCCCTTTTTTTTCGAGTAGTTGGGAAAGGTAGGCGCTTCGTTAATAAGAACTGCACTTGAACCCTGCACTTGAATGGGTTATCAGGGCCTGTCAAACACAATAACCTATGTCAATTCCCCGAATTCCCTGTTCCCGATTCCCGATCCCCGATACCAGGGGGTTACGAAGGGAGTGGCCCTACTAGAGAGTGACGTTGATGGGGTTTAATCAGTCGGCTTTACTTCACTTCAATATTGATTGATGCCAGAGCTCTACGCCAATGGTCACGTTTTCATGGACTTGCGTTTTCTTGGATTCCTTTGTTCGACCTGAGCTTTGCATTTCGTGTTTGCCTGCGACTTTGGGGACTTAGATCGGCCTTTATGCCGGGGTTTCGTATACAGTCAGTCACTTATGTGTGCCGATGATGCTGCCCTGAAACATTGTTTTGTATACCTTGTATACCTCGCATCGCCGACCGAACAAACCGGTTCACCGGATCCCCTTCTCCGATGCTGAGTTTTCTGCGCTGCAGCAAAAACAGCAGCTGTTCGATTGGAGATCGGAGTGATAGAGGGGAAGGAACGGGAGCGACGCCATCCCGATCGATGGGAACAGATTTGTGTTTACAGTCTGATAATGTGATAATACAGAAGTAGCACCCGCCTTCCATTTTTGGACCCCGATTTAAAATGCGAATGCGATCGAGCTAATTGCCAGCCAATCTATTTAAATTATTTTACATACTGGCAGTTCACAGCACAAAAAGCGGATTAAGCAGTTTTACACTGTCATGCGATCAGTTGGCCCAATATCACTGATCCACAGACACCGAAAGATACATATCACTTGTATCTATTTCATGGCGGATACCAATGCATGAATCACAAAGCCATTTAACACTTGCCTTTTTGCGGTTCAAATTGGTTTTATGCGTTTGCTCGTTTGTTAACAAAGAGTGGCGGTAATGCCTGAATTCACTGATAAGGCGCTGGCCAATAAATTTATTTCCGTCTTAAAAAGGCCTAATTCTTTTTACTGAACCTGCCAATAAACAATAAATCAAGATTTGTATTTTTAAATATTTTTAAAAAAAAATATTTCACCAAATTTCAGCTCTTAAAACAACAAATATAATGGATTTCCCACTTTTTTTTGCATTTATTTCTTTAAATTTATTGTGCGTATTATTTTATTATTATTTTTATAACTTGTCAGTTCTTATAAAATAGAACTCAATTTTAATACGTTTTAATCAGTTATTTATTGTTCAGTAATCACTTTGTTTAATAAGGTTCCTTTATATTGTCCTTTATTGCAAATATTTTTTAGGGAAACAAATTCATATTTTATTTTGTGTTTCTTTTAGCAAATTACACTGTATTATTTTGTATATCCAGAACGCGCTTTTCACTCAAGACGAATCCTTACTTTTTTTAGAAGTCAGGATAATCACACTCTAGCAAGGATGGCAAGGAGAACTGCTTTCGAGCGACTTAACTCGCGATCCGCACAACCGAGTAACAGCTTCTTCGAAGCGACGTGCGCGACTGGCGGTCAGTAAACAAACAGTGATCCCAGCTAGCTGGCCGAGCCAAGTGGCTCTGGGCTTTATGGCAGTAGCAGTTCCCGTTCCCTCGCGAATCGGAGAGTCGCTTCGTCGTCCCAGCTGACGACTCACTGGCCACAAAGAACACGATCGACCGTCTTGGCTGGTGTTGGTATCCGTATCTCAGCGCTCAAGTGGGTGTGCGTTCACCGCCGAACGCTGGCTTTATCAAAGGCGCTCAGTGCTGGCAGGCTGTCGATCTTCAGCGGGGAATTACTTCTTAAAGGTAAAATCCAATAAAAAAAAAGTTTAAATTTTAAATTAAAGTGTACATAAAAAAAAATGGTGAGATACTTTTAAAACATATGATGGAAAAAAAGGTTGAGAGATTTTAAAAGATATGATGGCAATGGGTATTATTATGTAAAAAATTAAAATGTGTTATTAATATGATAATATTAGTTCAGAAATTTTCAAATTATGAATTGTAATACTTAAAAACCCTCGCAAAACAAATAAGAAAGGAATGGTTTAATGTGTAATGAGCGTCAATATTATTTTAATTATTATTGGAGTATTCGGTGACATAAAATTTAAATTTTTGAATTTAAAATTGATTCGACTGTGTGTGTAGCTTATTTCATAGTTTACCACTAAAATAAATTAACCGAAAACATAGGGATGGATCATTTAGATATTTAACAACACTTAACGAAATATTAACGGTTTTAACAAATTGTTCTACTTGTTCTTCCTTTTTGTTATTGTTTTTTCGGGATAATCAAGATAAGAGTTAAAGATTAGGTACAAAATAATTACATATATTCATTTTATTTTATTTTTTCGTAGAAATAGCTAAGCCCTCAACACTTTTACGATGATCGCTCGGCGTTCTCTGCTGGCGTATATTTCGCATTGGTTATTAGTGTTTTGGCGTTGTTATATTGTCGTTTTCCTTCACTGATAACAAGCGCACACAATTACACACACTCACCTGTGGCAGCTGATTGAGTTTTTGGCAGTACGATCTCGGCCCGATTGGCCCGGTTGACAACGGAGAGCGGAGCGAATGTGGATCGTGCTCGGGTCACAAGTCCACATATCGAATTTCTTCGACACTTCATAATTGTCGTATACGTAATACGTCATAAACATTCCCGCACCGGCGGCTCTTTCTTCATTTGGATTTCATTCTGTGCCAATAGCAACGTACAGTGAAACAATAGCGAGCTCTATCCACGGACAACATTATCGGGCCAATTTACAATGGCTATATATTTGCAAGCAACTCTACTTATTAAGGCTCTTTGTGCTCGCTCGTGAATCAGAGTTACTTCACCGATTAGCTTCCTTGTTCGCTGTTCGTTGGTCCCTTGCGTTAATTAACATTCGCAGAGCAAGGTTATCGGAACTCTTTATTTTCCCCATGATTTTGTAAGAAAAAGTATTGCAGTTTTTTGTTCTGAAAGGCTTATAAAACTATAGTGCTTCAATGCGGGAATATTCTTTTTGTTTTCTATAAAGATGCAGTCCTTACATTAAATCCTTGAAACCTTAGGAGCTAAAGAGAATACTTTAACAAGTGTGTGTGGGTATGAAAATACTTAAATATATTGAATTTTATTGAATTACTACAGAAAAGAACAAGTATATATGTTTACCTGAATGGTTATTAGTATAAGTAATATGCAGATTTAGTTTAAATCAGTTTATTTATACCATTCCATTCAATATTTAATTTGCGTTTTTTACTTAGTTTAATTTGAGCTTTAATAATTTTGATTTTGTTTTGAAGATTTAAGTTTTTAAGCTTAAGTACACGAGTTTTTACAACATCTGCTTGGTCTCTGATATAACTTAAGTTTTCACTTTCAAATAATTCCGATTACACACTACTCTTGACTTGGTGCCACTTCTCATTCCCCTAGTTAAGAACTTCATTGATAAGTGCTTATTTAGCTATTATCGTAATAATTGCTCCATCAAACGAACCCCGCACCGACACTATGATTCAATCCTCAAACGGACTTTGGCCGTTCTCGACTGAAACTAAACAAAAGCCGATTGATATAGTAAGTATTGTATGTTCCCGAGCTAATAATGGAGAACAGAGCAAAGTTTAAAAACTTTTAAAACGTCACGGCTTTATCAAGTGCAACTGGCGATCGCTGGTTGGGCTTGAACTTCGATCTGAGCTGGTTCCGGGGATTAATAAAGTGGCAAATACTCGATGACTGGAGAAGTTCGTTATTAATACAATAAATAACGATTTACATAAGTGTTTGATAAGTTTAAATATTGACTACATCTACAATCTGCACGCGGGCGAACACCAAGCAAAACGATAAGATTACAATTTATGATCGTTCGCGCCATATAAAAGCTATAGGAAATTGTAAATAAGACGCATGGGAGCTCATCACTCCTGCGACTAAATCAAGGCAATCGTTTAGTTTAGTAGTTTGAGTTAATCTGGCTGGGTTTAGTTCAAAATATTTACTGGTGCCGCACCCACATCCCGTAAACCAAATTAATTTTGAGGGTTCTATATGATTTGACTTATCATGTGCAGTCGTCCATGTATTTATCGCTGTTATGACTTGTATACAAGAATATATTCTAAGCAACCAAAGTCCAAATTGTCGGGGTTTCTTTCATGGTCTTGTCGTGGGCGACTTGTCCAGTTTTTGTGAAATAAATCTCCGTAGCACCCAAAACCCACGAAATTGATAACCGCGGGCAATGCGCGTGGCTGAAGCGATTAAACAGTGATCTTTCAAAAAAATCTCAGGCTCATCGGAAGTGTTTTGTTTATAAAATGTTGATGATCTGGATTAGACTATCTATGATTTATGGCGTGATTCTTATGCCGTATATTATTGTAAAGGGTGCAATCTTGCAACATAATCTTTTAGCATAAACATAAACATTAACATTAAACATAAAGATTAAAACTATTAGTTCTAAAAAAAAAATTTGGTCAATTTGGATCTTAATTTTGTAGTAATTTATATTAGTTAAATAAAAAAAATTAGTCGTTTTGTATCTAAACTTTTTGTAAGTGGGATTTCAAAGACTTGAAAATGAAAATTTAAAATTAGTTTTCTATTTGAAGATTATATAAACATTTGATTATGTGGTAAAACAATAATTTAGATTTAAAATCAATTTTTTAGTTAAAAAACTCTGTCCAGTCAACGATCAAATTGCGAGTCAAGTTAGGTGATCATTTTTCTTGAGGTATCCAGTAAAGTTCTTTCCAGATTACTCGGAACTTCTGACAGCTTTACACGAACTTTGGAAAATACCCGATTACTCACCAGAAAGATATTTCCTTAAGTTAAATCTCTGCCAAATCGGTTCTACAGTTGAATGCTTAACAAATTTCTCACACACCTGAAATTTTGCTCAACCGGATCGTAGCCAATATTGGTAACGGTTCAGCAAGATACAGGCGCGAATGAAATATGCCGCCAAAGGAGTTTTGGGAACAACTGTATGAATCACTACTGAAGGATATAGGAGCACCAACTAGAACCGCAACCGCAACTTTTCCCGGCCACGCTCGGATTCGAACTGATGGCGAGAAGTCAGCGCCAGTTTTCGGGTAGCCACTTGCTGCGATACTTCTGATCAACCCGGACCCGGGCGACCCATCTAGCTATGTGTAATTCGCTGGCATTAGAACCATAGGCCAGAGACTCGGAACAAAAGGAAGCGCTGACAAAGCCGGCTGCCTGGTTGGCTGAGTGCCTCGGTTGGGGTTGGCTAACCTGATAGATAGATAGACTGACTGACTGACTGGCTGAATGGGTGGGTGGGTCACTAGCACTAGCACCACTTGCAACAGCAACAGCAAACGGCAACGGCGGCGCATGCTTTCTAAACGCCACCATTATTTAGTCGTAGTTGCCGTGGGACGCACCTTCCAAATACAAATAGCCAAATGGAAGCGGACCGACAGCTGACACCATCGGCGAACGCGCCTTTTTAACGAGCGGCCAGCGAGAGACCCCACCTATGTAGTATCACCCGGAGTGATTACATAGAGCCCAGATGGAAGTGGCACTGGAACCGGAATTGGAGATGGAGATGGAGATGTAGACGCCATGACGTGTGCTCGCCGAGAAATTGGGCTCGGACTTGGACCAACCACCGCGGGATCCTGTAATATATCCTGCCATTTACTCGCCATACGCACCTATAAATGGGTTAATGACTTGCCAAATGCATTTTCTAATTAAATTTGGGTCCCACAAGGTGTATGCCGCGGTGAGAAGCCACTTGAATAACCCACTTTTGAAGTCCAAAATCCCTACTGAATTTGGAGGAATGGTTCCAAATATAACGTAATAATATAAGCATCAAAATAATTTTTGAAGAATGGGATAAGCCAACATATGTTTGTGTAACTCAAGACTATTGTGATCTATTTAAAAATATATTTCCTTTTTTTTTGAAGTACAAAAATCAAATGTACCTCTAAAAAACTTAATTTACTTTTTTTTGAGTAATATCTACCAAAAAATATATTAACAGTTTTTCTTGATTAAAAATGAGAATTAATAATATATCTTACTTTTTATTAAAGGCATACTTCCACAAACTTTGTTTTAAAAATGAAAAGTGCAGACTTGTCGACTTAACTGATTAATTAAATTTAAATTTACATATGAACTTCCCACAGCGGTTGATAACTTCGTATGCCAACCGTTAATCCGAAAAGGACAATACTTGAAATGATTAGATATCAAATGAGGTGCACTAAATTAAATGTAATACAAAAGAGAGAATCCCAAAGGATAGTAGTTCGCGGTTCCATGTCCTTCGCCTGCTATGCTTTTAATCCATCGTTATGTATCCACGGTCCGTTGCTCTATAACACACCTTGTTCCAAAGCCAATCCCTAAAATCCTATGTACATGGAAGTAGTCCTTCCGCACCCATTCCCTCTCCAAGCGGCGTGCCACTTTTCGCGCCCCACATGTTGCCCCTTTCCAACCACGTTATGCCCTTTTTGCCACACAGGACTCGAAGAAGCGATGAACTGCGGGGATGATCTGCGGTCGTTAAAAGGGCGCGTCTCCCATTAAGACTTCCAAACTCGCATAACTAAATGTCAGCCAAAGAGGGATTGGCCTCCAAAAACGAGATATAGTCCAGACATTTTGGCTGAGGAATCTATTATCGCTAATTGAAGAATTAAAGCCTCTTTGATTAAAACAAAATGTAAATTTTTATATTTGAAAAATAACATAATTAATTTATTTAATTATGATGTATTAATTCACATTCAAAAAACAAACATGTTCTTCACTTGTAGTTACAAAGGCCTCCAAAGCCACTTCGAATATCCCTCTACAAATACAACAACACATGGGTGGTGCTGACATGGCTGACCATTGGCCAGCCAACTGCTTTCTATATACAGGTGACATTATATAACAAGCTGATCCAAAAGCAGCGGGGCCAACCCATCCGCAGTCGCATCCGCCTTTTGTCTTGCCATACATTAAAATCTAGGTGAGGGTGTGTTGGCCGTTCATCGAAATTTAGTATCAATGAGCATGCGGCTCTGCCATTTGGATTGTATGGTTAATTTAAATGCAAGTATTTAATTAATTTCAGCTCCGCCCGCAACGATTTGTTTGCACATAATTAAATCGACTAATTGGATGCCAGTTTTTAGTGTCAATTAGCTTCAGGGCGTAACTTTATGCCTAAATATTGATTTAACAGCTTAAGCTACGCCAAGTCAGGTTGCTCTGTGGTGGCTGGTTCTTTGGAGCTAGATTTCACCTGCGGCTGACCCAGTGACATGGGCAAGCGATCGCCCCATCGACTGACCTTCGCACAAGAGTAAGCAGATCTGAAAATATGTAACTGCTTGAGGGATCAAACAAAATGCCGTGAAGTTTCTACTTACTTTCCGTGCTTGGACTTTGTGAAGATGACCTCTTGGAGATTTCCTTCTTCCGTGCAAACCCTACAAATGGCATGCTTTGACCTAACCAAGGTTGGACGCACAATCCGCGGCCAGGAACTGGAGCTATCGGATTGGGGGCCCTTTTTCAGGATAGCGTAGCTATAAAGGGAGGTGTGCCGGTCTGCTAAAGAGTCGCTGCCCAAACGAAGAGGAACATAGGAAACCGGGAAGTTGCAGGGCGTGCGATCAGCCAGATCCTTGAGACGTGGACAAACTACATCATGCGGACACTGAAATTACAAAAAATGTAGTTAATTAGGCTTATAATTTCTATTTAGATATCAGCTTACAGGTGCCACAGTGTGACCTTCTTGGTCCTGCTCCAATAAAAATCGCCTGGCTTCGTTGACTAGCTCGCTACCTTTACGCGTTCCTTCTTCTGCAATGATCATGTAGCCATCGCATTTCCGCCACAGATTTCGCAGAACATCCTCCCGCTGCTCTTTATCTACCAGCTCAAAAAGAGTGTGAGAAATAATGACTAGATCGTAATTAGTTTCGATGGCGGGCAGGAACTGTCGATAGTAAACATTGCGCAGGGGTATTTGTTTGTTTTCATGACCATCCCGCAGAATAAGCTCCGAGATTTCATTCATTTCCCGTGATCTGTCAACGTTGTAATACTCGAAAATATGATCGCGCCAAAGTTCGCTGGCCACCCACATTCCGGTCCCAATGCCGGATCCGAAGTCAAAAAAGCTGCGCGGACGGAACTGTTCATCCCGCTGGGCCAGTTCCGAGAGGATGCGCTTCATCACTGCGTATTCCTGGGCACCGCGGGCAATGGCGTAAACGAGGGATTCGTATGCTCCATACTCGATCCGCTTCCAGGCGTAGATGCGCTGGCCCAGCCGCTTGTTGATCTCCAGCTCTCGCTTGCGCTTCCAGCGCTCCGCCTCCTCCTCATCCAGGGTGGCAAGACGATCCAGTGGCATCTTAGAGTTTACTTCCTCGATGATGAGCTTCTTTTTGTTTTCAACCTCCTCCTGTGTCGGCGGTGGGTGGCGGGATTTGATGTAGGCATTAAGCTGCTGGCCATCATGGATAAGTTTCTTGACAGGATGATCACCCACTATGCGTTTAAGGGTGTCATTCAGCTTTTTGGGTAGCTCCACATGATTGGGCCTTACTACACCAGGATGTTTTCTGGGCTTTAAACTAGCCTGTTCTAGGGCGGAGATCACCGCTGGTTCCACATCCACGGCGATTTTGCTGGTGAATCGATGCAGACGAGGAACCAAGGTTCTTGTTGTGTAATTCAACGTAAACATATTAGACCATTAAAATACTATAATATGTAACCGCAAAATCAAAACAATCACACGAGTTTACCGGCGTTCGTGTTGTTGTTTTTCGCCAGTGCTGGAAAGGTCCACTTAAACAGCTGATGGTGCTGCCAGATTTTCTGCCGTTCAATACAGCTATGGTTAGGTTTATAGCACTACAAGTTGTTTAAAATCCTTTATTTTATCAATTTTGGAACACCAGCACCAGCAGTATTAAAAATTTTATAAATCCAGAAGCCGCGACATGATTTTGAGCCAAAACTATGGATGAATACGAAGCACAAGTGAGCAAAGGTGATCCAATTTCGTCCTAACTTCCCTTATGACTTTATTCTTCCATCAAACAGTTGCTCGTTGTGGAACAGGCGCTAGGAAATGCCACAGATGAATCGCAACGCCAGGAACTTTTGGCCCTCAAAACAAATCTGCAGGAGCTACTGGCTCTCACGCAAGCTACAGAAGATGAACCACCGACCGACGGAGTACCTCAGCAGGGAGACGACCTGGACGTCGAGCTACAGCGGCTCAGGAGCGAACTGAACGACCTGGAGGAAACGGGCGCCACACAAGCGGCGGCGGATGAGGAGCGGCAACTGGCGGAACTGCGGGCCAAGTATACAGCCATGGTGGGCGAAAAGTGCTCCGCTCCTCACGAGCACAGTTGGGGCGTTTGTTACCACAATGCTCTAATCTGCGGAGTAGACGACGAGGTTATTATGAACGGTGATGGTGTCTTGGATGTTCGGTTGAGGGTACTCTTCACGAATCCCACGCATCGGGAAATGCTTCCCTGCTCCTATTTTCTCGAGGGCGAGTGTCGTTTTGATGAGTCGAGGTGTCGCTTTTCTCATGGCGAGTTGGTTACCGGCAGCTCCATTAAAAAGTACAACCCACCCGATTTCCATAAGCTTGCGCGCAGTCGTCCAGTTTTTGCCCTGCTGGCGGACCGCTTGTGGCACCGCGGTCGAGTGCTTTGTGTTAACTTCGTAGAACAGGTGTGCCGGGTGCGATTGGATGCACAAGATCACAAGGAGCGGGAGCGTGACTTTAAGTTTGAGGAGCTCTTTCCGCTAACCACCGATCAGGATGAGGACGACGAACTCTCAAGCGATGAGAGCAACTCCAGTATGAACGACGAGAGCAGTGACGAAGAAGAGTCAGAAATGGATGACCTGGAGGAGGCCAGGAGAGCTCGCATGGTCGAGTTGAGTTTGTTTACTTTCAAACCAACGGAACGGCTGGGCGCTTGGGAAGAGTTTACAAGGGCAAGTAGTGTATTCCCTTTAAATACAATAAATACAATAGTTATTAACACAATTTTTACAGGGCATCGGCTCCAAACTCATGGAAAAAATGGGCTACATTCATGGTACTGGTCTTGGCTCCGATGGAAGGGGAATTGTAACGCCTGTTAGTGCCCAAATACTTCCTCAGGGTCGATCCTTGGACGCCTGCATGGAGCTGCGTGAGGCTGCCAACGGGGATAAGGACTTTTTCAGCGTGGAACGAAAGCTGAAAAAAGCCCAGCGAAGTCAGCGAAAAGCGGATGAGAAGGCCTACGTGCGGGAGTCGCAACGTACGGATGTTTTTACATTTTTAAACGCAAGTGTTCTAGGCCCCGGAGAAAGCAACCAACAAGTTGTGCAGGTGCCCAAAAAAGCGAAGACTAACGAACTACAACAACATTCGACCAAAACTCTCAACGTAGAAACTGTCCGAATAGCTGATGAGATCCGTCGAAAACAGAGGGATATGGCAAAGGTAAAACAGTCATTGGACCGCAATTCTGGAGATGTACAGCTACAGAAACGACTACAAGAGCAGATGCATGGCCACAAACAGGAACTGGCCACGCTGCAAGCCCAGGAGCGCAGCTTGAGCAAGGAGCAGCAGACGCGCAAGAGCAAGAATAAAATGTTTGAGTTTTAATATGAGCTTGTATTTTTGAATTTTATTACTGGTTTAACGCAGAGTTTATTGTATAAAATTCTTAATGACCATTTTTACAAATAAGGTTTGGGCGTTAAAGGCTTTTTTGGATTATTATTGAATTATTTCAATATGTGTAAAAGTGCTTATTTAAGGACTGTAGGTCCCATATACCCCCTATATATCTACCCACAATTATATGCTACCGAAGGCCCCCGCCGTAATTATCGCTGTCATGTATTGCTCCAGCAATGCCTGAGCCAAATTAGCGCCATGTTCTACAGCTAGAGAGTAAGCGGTGTCTCCGTCCTCATTGGTGGCACTCAGATCCAAATCCCTGGCCAACAGCTCGTTGCAAGTGTGCGGATGATTGCCAGCCGCCGCGTACATCAAAGCCGTGCTTCCAACGATGTCCATATGTCCAGAATCTGCGCCGTTTTCCAGCAGGAAGCGAACGATTTCGTTGTGTCCTCCAGCTGCAGCCAAGAGCAAGGGACTTACCAAATCTGGAGCCATGGTGTTCACATTGGCACCCGCGGCAACAAGAAGTTGCACCGAAACCAGTTGCCCATAGGAAGCAGCCCAATGAAGGGCCGTAAAACCGTGGGAGTCCTTAAAGTCAATGTCCTGGTGCCGTCCCCGTTCTGCAGCCACTTGCTCCTCAGTGATCTCGCCTTGACCAGCACGTTCGTGAAAAGATAACGATACCTCGACGGGACAAAAAGTGGCCTCTGTATTGCCGCGCTGCAAATTGGTCAGCACGGTGGATTGAGGGCGGTACGGCAGAAAGGCGCTTTTCCGCTTGGCGTCCAGGACCAACATGGAAGTGGGCGCCGAACACACCGCCTCATCATCGTCGGAATTTGGGTTATTTTGGAGACTACTTGCTGGCGCCACCATCTGTTTTTGTTTTATTTACCGTTTATACCCTTCACTTAGGCCTAAATAGAGTATATTGGAACTTGGGATGTAACAATTGTAACAATTCCATAAACTTCAATGGTTTTCTACGATAACACCTTCTTTACAACGAATGAAAATTGACAAAATATTGTGCTTAGTAGCGGCAAAGAGCAGTATAATTATAGATCATGTATTTATAAAGTTTTTAAAGCTTAAGCCTCGGTATCAAATAGTTTGTAAAGGGCTTTCCTCTATTTCTTTTGTTAGAGTCACATTTAAATTGGAATTTTTTGCAACAATCGCACGGTCACACTTGGTTTGCTGGGTTTGTTTTCGTTTTCTCGTTTCAAAGTTTAATTTGCGTTTAATTATGTAAATATATTTACCTGATTTGTTAGCACTGTGTTTGTGTGTTTCATAACAGGTTTTGCTTGACGCGGCGCAGTTGTTTCTTTTGGCCAAAAAACGTTCCTGCACCTGTTGCGCCTCTTGCGAATTGCTCCCCAGTGCAAACCTGCGCGTTTTGTCGTTTTTATGCCCTTTAGTTGTACGTTTCCACTGCCCAAGAATTAATTGCGTCGAAGTGAGACCTGCGAGTCACCATCAAAATGGGCAACACGAGTTCCAAAGGAGAGTCAGACGCCAGTGAGCCACCCCTGGAGCCGGGGAAACACCACAAACAGGCGCACAAATTAAGCGATGGATCCCACAATGGAATCTCTGACGTGGGCGGCAGCCACAACAGCTTGAAGGTGCAACAGGCACAGGGCTCGATGACCAGGTCCGCCTCTGGTGCGGATGTCACCGAGAAGTACCTCACCCAACTGGTTCCGGTGGAGAAGCTAGCCGAGATCCTAAGGGAGCAGACGTCGGCGAAACTGGGCATCAATGGCATAGTGTCTGAGGTCTTTGTGGTGAGTAATTAACTGATAACAACACGAGCCACTCATAAAATACACCTTTCTTTCGACCAGTCACAAGTCTTTCCGCAGTACGCCGACTTGGGTCAGCGGCTCTTCAACCTGATGCACACCAACTCCAAGGCCACAACAAAGCATCTGGGAGCTGTCGCCTTTCGGCAGCAGTGCGAACGCTTTTTGGGCATCATGGACGACGCCAAGACGCTGGAGTGCTACATCAAGATGTACGCCCAGGAGGATAATCCGGACTTTATCGACAAGACAGGCGTGACGCGGCTGCTTCACATCTGCTACACCATTGCCATGCAGCACTCGGGCAACGCTGTCCTTTGCTCGGCCATTAACAGGACCTTTGGATCGGTGACCAAGTCCATTTTCTTGTGCCACGACAGCTTGAGCCTCGGCTATGTGTGTCGCTGGTTCGAGCAGAACCTAATTCGACTGGTGCTACTAGTGCACAAGTATTGTGTGCACACACTATCCACCGCCTATCGCGGTTTGGAGCTGCAGAATCAGTCCTGCGGCATTGAGTTGCAAACGCCGGTTCTGGAGCAGCGTAATCCCTTTACCGACACCACGGATCATAGTGGAGGAGGCGGACGTGACATGGATTCGCTGATGCCGCTTTCACAGGCGTGGCTTCTGGCTGGAGCTCTGCCGCCGCTGTATTCCAAGCCGCAAACCGTGGCTCCTCCTGCCAGCAAGGGAAACAACAATGTCAGCGCCTCTACAGCCGTGCAGATTTTCAAGGAGAAGCTCTCGATGATTCCCTCGCACTGGACGCTACTGTACGACTCAAACGAACATGGCGTGGGAGCCAATCGGTTTCTGCACCACGTCCTCGGCTATCGGGGACCCACCCTCGTCCTGCTGCACACCAAGGACGAGCAAACGTATTGCGTGGCGTCGCCCAGTGAATGGAAGGAAACTCACCTTTTTGTTGGCGGCGAGGGCAGCTGTGTCATCCAGCTGCTGCCCAAGTGGGTAGCAAATTGGTTGAGATTTCCGATCCTTATTAATGGTATTTCCTAAAGGTTTGTGATACTGGAGAAGAAGCCGAACATTCTGTACCTTAACACCAGCATACGCGGCTATCCAAAGGGATTACGTGCCGGCGCCGATCCGCGGAAGCCCATTATATCAGTCGATGAGCATTTCGAGAATGTGGACTGCAAAGGACTGGCGGCAGGACTCATGTCCATTGAGGTAAACCAAAACAGAAAAAAAAAATAGTGACCAACCCATTATAATATAAACTGATGCCTTCAATTTAAATTGTAGAGACTAAACTACTTGTAAATCCCATTTTTTTTACGGTAACATTTCACAAAAATTGGTTATTAGTCCACTTTGTGAAAAACCCACAATTAGAAAATTGAAAACATTTGCAATCGATCAATCAAATCAAATAGGCTGTCAGGCCAACATTTTGAATATTTCTCTGTACTTTAATTGCATTCATGTACAATAAGCCTTATTTAACAGGGGTATATTTATATATGTGTATATGCATATATGGTATATATAGTGTAAAATTCATAGACGTATATCGTATATAAACGGCATTATCTCCAGTCTAAGCTGTTAAAAACAGCACACCGTTGCCTGCTAATGGCCAGGTGTGCATTCTAGCGATGCATTTAAACTAAGTCTACGATTCTCCTTACCCAACAACAGTCAACCAACAACAAGAACTACACGTTGCTCCCACTTCTCCTCTCTCCGATCTCCTCCGCAGGTTTGGGGCTGCGGCGACAAAACATCACGCGAAGTGCAATTGGACATCAAGAAGTGGCAGATCAAGGAGGCCGAGCGACAGCGGACCGTAAAGCTCACGGCCGCCGACTGGATGGACCATCCGGATCGGTATCTTCTCGAGCTGGGCGGCAGGCAGAACTACAACAACTGATCGGAGCGGCTGCGTGTATATGTATGCTGAAAGCAATCGGGATGCCTCTCGTTTTTGGGGGCATGCCACGTCGAAATGTACTGGGATTCGTTACAATTATGCGCACGCAGCACGAGAAGTAATCACTGGACTGAATTTGTTTTTAATTGATGTTGATTGATATTCGGTTTTCTTGTTTTCTTTCTACTATCAGCGTTTAGTATTCGATTTGATTTATGTTCGTAACGTGAATTCCGTGAATGCCTTTATATGTATGTATGTACTTCGGTCTACTTTGTATCTATGTCAAACATTGTCTCCGTTTTTCGTCATTTTTAATTTGAAGTTTTATGTTTCGTTTTGTATCTTCGTTCTAATGTAAAAAACAAGTATTATGAAAAGACATAGAAGTCGAAGTGCTTAAACAAATATTTCAATAAATGTTACAAATAATATGGCGTTGGCTTCTCTACTTATCAGCTTGGAATTCTACTCTCATTATAATATTATCTCCCAACAGCACGTCTGAATATCATTTGGGACTTTATCTTTACACGGGAGTGTACGATAAAAATAACGAGAAATAATACCTAAGTCAAGGTCCCATTTCAGTCTATTCTACATTTAAAAAAAAAATGGAAATGAAAGTGGAATTCAATGATTCAGCATATTTAAAAACTTCTCTTATCAAATTTACGAATTGCGTCAACAAAACCGAAAATATGAAAACGATAAGGCGTGTGTTTCGAAAATGGGAATGAGAAGCAATGTTAGGGTGTTATGGGTGCAGTGGCATACAAATAATACAAATTTGAAGTGATAAAACATAAAAGGCGGTTACAAATAGTTTCCAATATTATATTATAAATGTGTATATTAGTATTACAATAAGAATTTCTATTTAAATACAATTTACGCCCTTTTCTGACCGGCGGCAGTCACAAAATTCACAATCGGTTCAGGCATGATTTTAATTAACTACTACGCCACACAAAAGTTTTCAACCTAACTACATACAGGCGGGGCCTCCTCGCGGGGATGTATAAAGTAAAAATATCGTTTCGGAAAGGTGGTCTTATTACAAAATCAGCGCATAAAAGTACGTACAAAATATCAGACCCAGTTTCGCACATGTTGAATGATGATTCTTTGGCCAACGGGATGTGTGGATTGGCTTGTGTGCGCTATCAGGAAAAACGATTACAGCAAAGGCGTTTGTAAAACAAGTTGCTTTCGCAATGAAAACTAAGGCCACAATTCAAATACCCCATTTAATGGGCCGCTCGAAAGTGTTCGTTTCATGAGTATTCTAAGCCTAGCACAAAACAAAATGTGGGGAAAAACAATAAATATAAGAATAGCGTATAACTGAAGAAGGTTTTAAGGTCAGCGCGTCTAGGTGATGTACTCTCGATCGCGGCGACGTCGCGTCGTGGAGGCAAAAACAACAACGGGCTGTTCGCCAGCAGCGTCGTCCCCATCTTCTCTGTCCGCGTCATCGTCTTCGTCTGCGTCATCATCATCATCATCCCCGCCCGTTGAGTTTGACCACTCGGACGCCGACTGGTTGCTGCCAGTGGCACTAAATTTCAAACTGCTCGACATGCCAAACGAAACGGACAGCGAGGCGCTGAGCGATGAGGCATTCAACTGCTGGCTCACGTCCACGCCGTCTTCATCCTCGAAAGCATCGTCAATGTGCGGGTGCTGATGGTGCTGGTAGTGGTGGTACTGTTGGTAGCGGTGTCACCTGCCTGCGCCCGCACCCAAAAGCAGTGCATAATCATCGTTGGACTCGGGAATCGGCGCTGCCGCCGAGGCATTTCCGGCACCGGGCGGCAGGCGAAGGAAGCTGCTTCCAGCTCCTCCGCCAGCACCCGCAACCGGATGCTCTCTTTCACGCTCGCGAAGATGCAGCGTATCGCGCTGACGCGTCGACGGCTGAGAGCCCGGCAAGTGTAGTTGTTGTTGTTGGTAGTTGTTGCTATTGCTACTGTTGATATCGTCGACCGCGCCTGCTAGAGGAAATCGAGATTGGGAGTGAGTGGGTTGGTTTTCGGGCAACGTATTCAGCTTGCCATCATACACGGGCACGATCAGGCGACTGGAAGTCGCGCCATACATGTTACCTGATTGCGACGAGTTGCCCGGCAGCTGTTGATCCTGCCGCTTGCTGATAAGATACTCGGACTCACTGCTGGAACGGCGAGGACTGCGTGCCAGCGGCTGATAGGTGCTGCGTCCCTGGAAGCGGCGACTCAGCGAGCTGCTCACCACGCCCAGATGCTCGGTAACGTCCTCCTGCATGTCCGAGATGTCCATCATGGAGAGGAAGGCGCGACACCAGCTGTGATTCGGGTTGTTCCAGTACTGCGGCGAGTTGATATGGAACGGGTGATGCGGGAAGCTGTAGATATGGGCCACCGCCGCGATGAACATCTCAATGCAGATAAGGAAGTTCTGTGAGGGGGTTAATAGGTTATTTAAATTAATATGGAGAAACTTTCACTTTTTGATCGGTATTGGCAATTTTATAAAGAGAAAGTTTGGCTTAAGAATCACTTTCAGTCATCAGCTTTAGTTAGTCAAGGTACTGTCTCTGATTTTAATATAAAATATCAAACCGCTTTAAGCCATAAGTTTCTGAAGAGGAAGTTACTGAATAACTATTAAACAATTTGGGTTTGGGTTTTAGCTAGGTTATCGTTTTAATCTTTAAATAAATATATAGCAAAAACATAAGTTTAAAGACTACCACGAGTTTTCCATTTAGGAATCGATTAACATTAACTCACCTGCAACAATGAAGCCAGATTTGTGTCGCCCACATCCGAGCCAAAAATGTCCTTAATTATGTTATAATATACCAACACATTGAGCAGCACTCCTTGGCTATGTAAAGAATACAAAATGATTATTAACTGATATTTTAAAAGACACGCATTTAAAACATACAAAAATGAGAAGAACACCACCGCCTTGATGCACAGAAACTTGGGAATGGGCTTCATGGGTTTCAGGTCCTCCTTGTTGGCACGGTAGAAGAGCACCAGACAGTACATGGCCACGAACTGCGAGATGTTGTTGACGACCACGATGTAGGGGAAGGCCACGTTGCCGGCGAACTCACCTTCGCCATAGACTCCGCACAGTTCGCAGATACTATGAAATTCCGATTAGAGTCGAGTTGCTTAGCAGAAAAGGGATACCACGACACTCACACTGAGATGAAGGTGGTGATGGGTCGCACCACTGTGTACTGCAGGATGCCGTGCTTGCAATTGTGGATGAACTCGCGGCCCATCACCCACGGACGCATGCAGCAGAGAGGAAAGAAGTGCGGCACCTGCGGCTTGTATTCCATGGTGGCCTCCAGGTCCATGCCGAGATTCAAGTAGTTGAGCAGGTACACCATAAAGTTGTAGATCACATACGCCTCGTAGCATTCGCGCAGAGAGTCCACATAGATGGAGTGCTTCGGAAAGAAGAGGCCGATCCACTGCAAGTGAACAGACAGTATTAGGTTTCATGCGGTCTCCGATTATGCATATGACCCACTTACCGCGTTCAAGGCGTAGATGGGCACCATCCACAATATGCGGATTATGTGTTTCTGCAGAATGGGCTTTGTGAAATGTATGACGTGTTGAATGATGTGCCATATGGACACGGGCACGGCGGACAGGACAAACAGACCGCCAATAAGGATGAGCTGATCGTTGCGTTGGAAACCATCCTTCACGGAGTTTACTATAAGGAGCGGCACCACGATTATGGCGAATATGACATAGGTCACGATCAAAAGTGGGCGAATCCAGATGCGCCACTCCTCAAAGAATCGTCTCACATCCAAGCTGCACATCCTGTTCTATTGGGATAGTCCGCTTGGGATTGCTCTTGGGATCTTAGATCGCCCGATTACAGTATTTCGGGTTTTCGTTGATTAGTTGGCGTTGTCGCCGCCTACCCAATTCTGTTTTCACTTGGCTTTCCTCCGATTTCCGCCGCTTTGATTCGCTCTTCTCCGCCAGAAGTTCGCCCACGAAAGATTACAGGACTCGGCGGTCGCACGCACGCTGGAGGCTCATTTTCGGGGATCTCCTGCCAGCAGAGCTAGTGCGTTAAGCCACTGGGAATGGTCTCAGTATCGCAATATAGACGGTTTGTTGCCCTTCTTTTGTGCCAAATCCAATCTGCGGGTGCAGCGTACGTACTACGTCTATGCGAAGTGTGACCAGACTCCGTGCTAAAAAACACAGTTAATGTAGCAAGAACAAAACAACAAATAAACGGATTTGTTTAAATATTTATTAGTGAATTAAGAAACCCTTGGTATAAAGCAGTATAACCCTAGTCTGTCAAAACTATTATCATTGTAACAGTTCTTTACGACAACTACGACTTATTTGACACCCTTAAAAATATTAGGAAACAATTTCTAAAAATTATTAATGTTTATCTTAATATATGTGTATTAAAATATGCTTTTAAAATCAAGACAAACAAATAAAAACTACTTTTTGTCAGAATAACTCCAACTAGCAAAGATGAAATTTGAAAAGCATTGAGATTAAAGGGAAATTTTCAGGGCTGCAGAAATGCATATTAAAATGTTTAATTTTTTTTCTTTTCATGGATCAAATCAAAAAATATATTTATGAGTCCTATCGATGTTAAACGGTTGAGCAATGCAATAAAGAAACTATATTCTTCACCTTTTAAGTTGTTAATTTGGTTTTTTTTATTAGTTTAAAAAATTTAATTTAGAAATATTGCAACACTGCATAAAAAATCACCATAAACTAAAAAAATTTAACTTTCTTAAAACCCGTATATGTATATTTATTCTGTATTTTTTTCAAAAAAAAAAAAGGAAAACAAAAATCCTTTATCGTTTTCCAGTTTTTATTGATAAGTTGAAAAATATCCTTATATTTAAATTAAAAATATGTAATATGGAAGCAATATTTTATTATTACGAGTTATCGTGAATAATAATTTTTGCATCCAAGTTCTGAAATATTTACAAGACATCCAAATCTATAAGCTAACTATTTTATATGATGAAAATTTTGTAACATGAATAAATGGTTTTAAATACGTTTCTTGTTTTAATTGGTTATTGTTTTATTTAACAAATATTCTTAAAAATATGTGTTTCATTGGGATCTATTCCGTCTATGTATTCTATTAACATTTATAGGCTGATACCTATAGATGATCCGTGTCCAGCGAAGACTACCTTTCGATATAGACTATATTATAGAGTAAAGCAGATTGTGCTTAGACCGATTGCTTTGCCCATGGTAGTCATGTTCATATACAGAAGGTCGTACATATTTAGTTAAAGTAAATAAAATGTAATTGTATTGTATAAAAACAGAAGTCTGCCAAAGCTGCAGTCTAATTGTTGTGATGATGGAGAAAAAGAATCGCATCTATTTGACTGCCGGTTAGCATGAATCGCTTGTTGAAGTCGTACATTTGTTCTCTCAGCGCCTTCTTAAAGCTTAGGGTCACCACACCAGGCACACTTTGGTACAAGGTAGCCAGGTCCCGTAGCGTTCCATAGATGTTTCCCATTTTCAGCCACCACTCAATGGGCGACTCGTCGAGTTGGACGACCACCTCGTTGCGGTACCGCTTAAGATCCGTTTCCACGTTGCTGTCGGCATCCCTTTTTGGTAAATTGGGGATCTCCGCAATGTCGAAAAGAAGTTCCAATTCTGAGAGGGGATTTGCATTAGATATGCTTCGTAACATTGACTTATTTTCTGTATACTCACTCGACTTCCTAGCTGTGCTGTTTCCTCCTGTTCTTGGTTCTGACTTGATAGTCACGGCCCCCGAGGTGGCCGCCACTTCACTGTTCTCACCTTCTGCCGCCCCATTGAAGTTCTTGTTGTATTTTTGGGTCAGCATGCGAATGACTCTGTCTAAATTGTCAATGGTCGTTAAGCGATGGAACCTTGGATCCAACAAAGCAGCTGCGGTCAAGTTGTCATTGGATATGACGTGGGCCTGCAGCACGGCGGCAATAGTGCGCTTTACATTCATCATAAGTGGATCGTCCTGCTCGGCAATGCCCAGCTTCTTGATGAGAATCTTTGACGTGATTGGCGAAAGCATGCTGCACAATGGAATATCCTCGCCACGCAAAGTGTCCAACGCAATCTAATGGAGATTGAACCCAATAAGAAAGGTGTTCGAAAGAAGATATGAGGTTTGTAGCTTACCACAAGAGCACTTAGTGCCTCCGTCACCGTCTTGGCTGATATGACCAGCTGATCCATGTCATCAGACCAGGAAATGGTCTCGGCAAAGAACTTGAGCGTCTCGTAAACTGTCCAGGGGAAGTGCTCGTTGTAGGCGGGCAGCTCAGACACTTTGGAACTGATTTCCGTCGAGTATCGCTGGATGATGTCCCTAACCTGCTCCACTAGTGTGGCAACTTCTTCGAGCTCAAAAACGCGCCGCAGGCATTTGTCAATAACCGAAACGTAGCACAGTACAATGGGAATGTCTGTAAAGCAAATGAAATGCATTAGTTAAATAATGTACAGTCTGCATTTAAACTATATAGACTTACTCTTTTCCCGCAGATATGTGTGCAGCAAGTCTTCCTCATCTTCGTAGTTTATGATGGCCAGTGTGCAGTTGGGCAAGTAGAAGTCGGTCAACAGGTCATCGAAGACAATGTAGTCTGTGTACTGCACGGTAGCATACAGCATACTCCTAACCGACTGTGTTTCCTCGTCCAGATAGTGATGGAAGATGCTGAGGAAACGGCGCTGCTCGACATTTACCCACTGCTCGAAGGCGAGGGAGAAGGGCTTCTCGGAGGCCAACTCGCGCGTCATCTCGCCGATCTCCAGGAACTTGGAGGCGTGCATCTCACTGATCAGGGAGTCGATCTTGTGTGGCTCCGGCATAGGAGCCGAATTGCCCAGGGCCTGACGCACAAACTCGCTGAACCCGACGTCATACAGGGTGTCTACATTGCGCAGATCCTTGATCACGATGTCCGTGAGTGCCTCGGCAAGATTGGCAATGTTGGCTACTCCATAGCCGCCATCCTCGTGCTTGATGCCCCGCGCGTGATGCAGTACGCTCGACGGAGTGGCCACCTTCCTTTTGCGTCCGAATTTCGGCTCCATCACCAGGCGCTCCTCCTCCTCGACCAAATTGTCCGCCTCATCGTAGGTATACGGCACCATAGTCTCGTACAGCATTGTCTGTGAAGAGGCGTCCTCCTCTGCTTGCATGGCCGCAGTGGCTACGGCCGCCTCGTCCAGTTCCTCATCGGAGGCGTTGTCGTGATTCCGATTGCTAATGAACTCTAACTTCACCCGACGGGAGGAAACATTCCGCTTGGAAAGCGGCGGATGGGTCACGTTCCTGGGGGTCTTCCGCGGCGGCACATGAATATCGTGCTCCTGGCACAGTTCCTTGAACAGATCCTTATGGCGATGCTGCAGGTGAGCCCTCAAGTTGGTGGTGTTCCCGTGATTGGTCAACACCTTGTGGCACTTAATGCACACCACATTCTGCTTGGTGATTACCTCGTTGTTGTCGTTCGAGGGGAACCCGAAGTAGCGCCAGTAGACGCTCTTCATTTTGGGCGAGTACAGTTTGGAGAAATTCAGCTGCGACACATCCTCATACTTGAGGTCGCTAATGGCCACCGGCGATGCGGATACCTCCTCGCTCATCTTGGATTCCTTTTGGGTACCGGATTGTTTATTTTGATTCGTCTTTCGATTCGACGACGATTGCTGGTCAATGTGGGAATTAGCGCGCAATTTCTCGATTATAGATAGACGGTTCAATAGTCAATAGTTTTTTATCTGTATCAAAAGTACAGTTCAGAGTTGCCACGCGACACGCCAGTCAATCGATAAGGCAATTAACTACTGATAAATGCTCAAAATGCTTTCGTATTTATTTTAATTTATTTTTACTTGCTGATAAAATAAACGCGTCACTGTTTTTTAGTTTTTAACTCGACAGGCTGGCGTAGAAATGCGATTGGTTGAGTATTCTCGCTAACACTGATTGCATCACCAATCGATAGCTGGGGAAATTTTTCGCTCGCCGAGGGAATTTTCGGAGGGAATTTTTCGGCTGGCCTACAACGTGAAGTTGGTTGCGATTTCCTTTTTAATTCGTTGTTGGGAAGAAAAGGTGTGTGAATTTTGTGTTCGTCTCGAAATTTAATGAAAATAAGAGATAAACGAAATGGAAACTCGCCCATCGAGTGTGAAAAGTGTAGAGCACACATGGGTGGTTTATCAAGTGCCCTAAACAGCTAAAAACTGCTCTTTGTGAAGGCTAAAACAAACAAAATGACTCAGCCACGTGGGACTGCAGCTTGGTTATACCGCTTTTACGAGTTTACATGCAGACATTAATGTTTATATGTGTTTTTGCGATCTTTACAGCCAATCTAATCCGCCAAGATGGGTAAGGGTAACAATATGATTCCGAATCAGCACTACCACAAGTGGTGGCAGCGGCATGTGAAGACCTGGTTCAACCAGCCGGCCCGCAAGGTCCGCAGGCACGCGAACCGCGTCAAGAAGGCCAAGGCCGTCTTCCCCCGCCCAGCCAGCGGTGCCCTGCGCCCAGTGGTCCGTTGCCCCACCATCCGCTACCACACCAAGCTGCGTGCCGGCCGTGGTTTCACTCTGGAGGAGCTGAAGGTAAGTGACGCCATGCTTCTCTGGATTATTACCCCTAAACTAAACCTTTTTCTGTTCCTTAGGGTGCTGGAATCGGTGCCAACTTCGCCAAGACTATTGGCATCGCCGTTGACCGCAGGCGCAAGAACAAATCGCTCGAGTCCCGCCAGCGCAACATCCAGCGCCTCAAGGAATACCGCAGCAAGCTGATCCTGTTCCCCATCAACGAGAAGAAGATCCGCAAGGGCGAGTCCACCCTGGAAGAGTGCAAGCTGGCCACCCAGCTGAAGGGACCTGTCATGCCCATCACCAACGAGCAGCCCGCCGTCGTTGAGTTCCGTGACGTGACCAAGGAGGAGAAGAAGTTCAAGGCCTTCGCCACGCTGCGCAAGGTAAGTTCATGGTTTGGCGATCTTTTTGATCATAGATTCTTAAACTTTTTGGTTACTTTTAGGCTCGCACTGACGCCCGTTTGGTAGGAATCCGCGCCAAGCGCGCCAAGGAGGCCGCCGAGAGCGAGGACGCCGCCAAGGGAGACCCCAAGAAGGCCAAGAAGTAAACCACATCTTGACCTGATCGTTCTGTCTATACCATCAACAACCAGAATAAAATCTTAGTTTTTTCTTAAACGTGAATATCTGTGCTCTTTGTTGTTGTTATTGTCGTGCGCGATGTGGGTTTTATCGATTATGAGTGCGATTACCGATAAGCCAGTCATTTGGCGTGCAGTTTCAAATTCAAAATTGAACATTTGTTTCAGGTCCTTCCAATTTAAAAAGAAAACAATTTATATTCGATTTTTTTTAATAAACATGTAAAATTGTTTTATTTAAAAGTAGGAGTGCAGAATACTTTTCTTTTAATATTAGAATCGAATAATATTTGAACCAATAATTTTGCTAATGCTTTATAGTTTAACTTTAATAGGGAAATAAATAATTAGGTAAGCCGAACGATTTTATTTACATAGATAAAAAGTATATTTGCATTTTTGCAAAATTTTTGTTTGTTAGGGTTTAAAAATTTTTTATTTTGCATTATAGTCAATAAAGGTTTAACCTGAGCCTTAAGAAATGTGTAATGCTTAGCAAACCTTCTAATAATGCTAGATTTTTTTAAAATAGATTAGCATACTCTTTCAGTTGACAATCAAACTTACAGGGGTTAACCACTATTTTCACCAATAAAACCATTTTTATTGACCCCTAGATAGGCGCATTTGCACTTGAGCTGCCAAATGTTAATTGAGGCCGCCACCCCGAAATTCGTAATCCATATGTTGCCAATAAATGCAGACCACTTTCCAGGCTAACCCAAATATGTCCATATTCATAAATACATTTGTACATATGCAAAACCATAACTCGTTCGGTGGTAAAGAGAAGGGTTGTGCCCCCTCAACCCAATGCGACAAGCCAATTCAATTATCGTGGTGGTGCAGCAGCATCCAGACTCAAATCCCGTTCCAGATCCAGATACAAATACCAATTTCCCGACTCGACCCGCACCTTGAACCTTGTTTATGCACTTCACTGATTTTTATTTCACTTAACCTTGTTTGCTGCTCTTCTTCGGGAAAAAAGAGGGCGAGGATGCTTGTTTCGGTGTCGTGTCAACTGCATTCAAATTTTTATTATTGAAATTTATGAGCGCAAAAGTGATTTTCCACATAGTTTTTCCTGCTGCCCATTGCCACCCCTCAATTATTTTTTTTGTTGGGTTTCCTGCTTTTCGATTGTTTCTCTCTGCGTTTTTGCATTGTTTCGACTGTTGTTTATGGTCCATGCTGGTTGGCTACTGGGGTGGGTAGAATCCTTGGGTGGTTTTTGGGTGCGGAAAAGCAGGAAACGAGGAAACTGCTCATCCGTAATTGGCAATTGTTTTTCTATTTTTGTGTGTGTCACCTTTCGCGGCGACAGTTGCCGGCGAAAACTTTTTGCAACATGTGCGCCGGGGTGACAAATCAAATGCAGATTTACTTTGCGGTTCATTTGAATGGAGGATGCTAGTGCGAAAGTAAATTACACAGAAAAAACTGTGGCACTATGTTGGATTTTGTACTCCATTTTTTACGTATATGTATATTTTTTGAGCGGAGACAAAAATAGTAGAAATTCCTAGCTTGTATTAAGTTTAAATTTAAAATATATTTTCAACATGCAGTGCAAGTTGTGTTACTTTTAAAGGAAGATTTATTTGCTTTTCTTAGAAACCTTGTTTATTGGTTCATCTGAGAATTCTAGTATAATAAATGGAGAGTTGCCTTACAATTTATTTGGAGGGGTAACGGTAAGTTTTTTTTTTGTGTGTGTTGACTAATCCCGTTATCGCAAGATGTGAATTTAATTTAACACTTTCTCCGCACAAATGCATTTACGTTTTCTGTTCTTTTTATCACAAATCGATTTTCTGTTGAATCTGAAGCGGTGAATTTGCGGCATAATTGATGTCAGTTGAACTCATTCCCTTTCGATGGCTGTGGGTTAATCTGCATATGCTGCGACTACTGCAAGTAAAGTGTCCTTGCTCAGGATCTGAACGCATACACACACTTTCGTATACCTAAGCCCGTAGTTATTCCGCCTGCACCATAAACGCAATCAGTGCTTAATGATCCATACAGCAATTGGATTAGTGTCTGCCAGCCCGAAGGGAAAACTCAGCCGAGGGACGGGATAAAATCAGGACCAGAAGCACTAACTACGACGCAGATTTACATTTGAATGAGGCGTAGAATAAGCTGCTCTTGTGGCTGATGTCCAATCGATTAAATGCATATGAAATTCACTTACCGCATATAAAAAAATCACAATTTGTGAGATTTTTTATGCCTACTTAAACAGTTTATCTACCCATTTAAAGGAAAGCTACCTAATATTATTCCACGTATTTACCTAATTTGATTGGGTTCAAAATGTCCTTATATTATTATTATTTCATTTGTACATATGTATGTATATACATGCGCTATCTGACAATACTAAAAACCAATCAATACCAAATCAATATCAAAACTTTTTCGTTGTTCTGTTGTTTTTATTACTAAATGAAAAAAATACTGTTATTTACATACTATGATTTCCTATAATTTAATTTACTTTTTATGAATTAATAAAATGCTTGGAAAGAGGCAAAATTATGAATTGTCTTCACATAAATTAAATTAAAAACTTGTATTCTTTTTACCAACACATGGCGTATTGAAATCTCAGCTTCATCCCTATACGACAACAAAGAATGTGTTATGCCCCATCAATTTTGTACCTCTAATCCATGTCCTTGCGATTTGATGAGCTATAGAAAGTGCCCTGATCCTTCACTCCCCAGTCCCCGAGCACACAATAAAATGCTTATTATTTTTCCATAAAAAACCACCCAAAAAAGCAAACAAATTAATCAAATATGCAAATAGGAGGGCCCTTCGCCCCTCCGCCATTCCATATTTTCACGCATCATCTATCAAAAATTGGCACGCCATAAAAAGAGCAGGCACATGCAAATTAAAGGGACCCTCATAGGAAGTTGCTTTTTTAGACCACTTGGCTCGATTATGAGATCAATAAGGGGCAGCACGATCCTGGCAAAACAAATCGTAAAAAAGGCAAATTGCAAATTGCAATGGGCGTGAAATATCAAAATCGAATTAGAATCACAATGGCAGGAAAATTTTCGCATATGCAAAATAATAATTGCCGGAAAATATGCAAATGAGATGAGGAAAGCGACTGAAGTGGGCTGGCGTGAAATTGAAAATTGCATAGACTGTAAAGTGAGCACTTAAAGCATTTTGCCAATGTTCTCCATGGGCTGAGTTGAATGTCCTTTCTCGGGCCACGTGTTTTGTGGCCTCTTGTGCGTTTGTGAGTGTGTGCCACCAGCACGAATAACAATATCCCCAAAACCCTTGGGCATCGGGCCAAAATCAATTATCCTTTTTGGGACCAGTGGGCGTGGCCTTTAACAATAACACAACAACGATAATGAGTGGGCAACCGCAAAATTGCTAAATAATGTGTGCTTTAGGTGGAGAGAGGAAGTGTTTTTGGTTTTGGTTATTGATTTGACATAAAATTATTTTGGTCTTTAAATTTATAAGCGAGCCTTGGACTGTATAAAGTACTTAACTTTAATGTAAAAGTCTTAGGCTAGTTTTTTACGGAAAATTTAGTTTAATCTTTCCATAGGTTAAGTGGCTTAAAAAATATATCGTAATTTATTTGCAAGTCATTTTGAAATAAAAAGAATTGACTAAAAATGTAAATATATATTATTTTAATTGTACAGCATTGAAACATGACTACCTTCTATCGATTTTATTTTATAAAGTTAGTAAACACTAGAAAAATCTAGTCCTTTAAAGCACTGATTTAGCTTGT